AAAGAAGAATCCCTAGAAAATCCTCACGGTGTGTGGAATTTTCCACACACTGGCATACCTTGTTTTTGTCACATGACATGACGAACTTATGCTAGTGATATTATTCAACAGACTGAAACAAGATACTTTCGATCTAGAGAAGTTGGCATCGCAAGTTTCTAGAAACCAGAATACAAAAGAAGAATCCCCAGAAAATCCTCACGGTGTGTGGAATTTTCCACACACTGGCAACCCTGGTGATCGCGTTCCCCCACTTCACAGAGCAACACATGACACACAACCTCTTTTTTTGTATGTAATTCTCTCTACTCTCCCCCAACGGTTTGCATATTGCATAATATTCAAATTCACCTCTGGGTCTATTTAACATGGGAGTAATACGTAGGTCGGAGGCTTTTCCACCATCGGCCTGTATATTATTATTTCTGACTTATGGAATCAGGTTCTTACTGTATCGAAGACTGGAACCTTTGGCACGATAATCTACACTGTTTTATCACTAACCAAACCGATTTTTTAACGCCTCGAAACGTGTTTCGCTAACTATGTTAGCATCTTCAGGAGAAGATTAAAACTAAATATCCTATTCTAGTGTGCTGCTTATATACTAGGTATATGTTCACTCAACTGTGAAAAATACTAACAGTCAAGTTAATGTTTGTCATGGTTGAGTTCACATGTTAATCCAAATTTTTATATTACTAGATTATATAGAGGGCTATATGGAATAGGTCCATTATCCTTATTCATTACTCTATTACTATTCTTAAATATCTCCAAGCTTTCATATGCGTCTAGTTTTCTAATGTTATTAACTTGCTTAACTAATTTGAGGTTAGTAATATGTGTGTTATGATTGTGATTGAACATATGTTCGGCTACACAAGATTTATCTAACCTGCCATATTTTAAATGGGCTATGTGTTCTTTGAACCTTGTTTTTATGGGTCGCCTGGTTTGGCCTATATATGTTTTATCACAATCATTACAACTTATTTCGTATATTCCCGACTTTTCAAGTGTGTCCACTTTATCTTTCGGATTGCCTAATAAATTGCCTAATTTTGACCCAGACTGATAAACGCTTTCAAAACCTAAGTCTTTGAAAACCTTATCAAGTCCCTTCGTATACTTGGGATTGAACGGGATTGGTATTCTTCTAGAGTTCTTTTTATCCACTTGAAAAGTCGTAGAATTTCGAAGTGTTAACTTAAATTTATGTCTACGTATTAATTTATCTACTATTTTGGTATCATACCCATTGACGCCAGCCACTTTATAAACAACACCTCTTTCAGCATTGAATCTTTCTTTGCTCAGAGGAAATGAAATCAATCTGTGTACTAGAAAATTTAAACTTGCCATTTTGTGCTGAAAACAGTGATTGGAGTCATTAGGTATGTATCTAAATGTGTTAGTTTCTTTTCTAAAGACATCAAATTCTAAGTTGTTTTCGCTATTTTTGATCACAAGTACATCTAAGAAAGGTAATTTGCCATGATTTTCGCATGAGACAATCGAATCGACATTGTATTTTGTCTCAGGTGAAAAATATTCTATTGAAACAAATGAGGCCTCGGTGTTTATGTTAATGAACAGATCGACAATGGATCGGTGATCGCTGGCGCAAAAGTCAACCGCCCTTCGCCCGATATCATCGAACCCTTCCATCCATATTATCACGATCGCCGTTTGTTTCGTCGTCGTACTCACAGCCTACTACTCACCCTTCTGTCAAAGGGCCAGAGAAAAGGGCGACTTCATTTCGTGTCCCCTGTACGTGTGTGACGCGAGTAACGTTGGCGCGTTTTTCCCTCTCGTTTACTTATTCAGGGAAAGAAAAGAGGAAAGCTAAGGATGCAGGGTATTTTTTGTGTGTTAGTTGTGATAAAATCGTGAATAATTTGAGGGTGGTTTTGTTGTGGATTGTCACCAAGGTTCGCGTGTTTTTCGTGTGACTGTGAATGTGGCTTGTTTTGCTGTGGGAACATGGATGACGTCAGAATCTTGAGGATTATGATCCATAAGGTCAAGTTTGTTTGGATTGATCGAAAACGTGTTTTTATGCTCGGTATTTTCAGGTTATTGCTCGACAATATTTGTGAATGCAAAAATTAAAATACAGTATAGAAAACTCATACAGGGTGATCCATTTGATAGTAGCAGAAGTTTGACAATCAATATCAGATCTCAGTTGAAGAATTAAAGTTCCTATGGATATTGGTCATTGGAGTTTTGGTTCCGAGATACTGGGCCTTGAATGAATGAAAACTTTTTTATTATTTTTTTATTTTTATTATCTTGTATAGTGTGAGTTATTGTTATGGCAAAACTTAGTATGTTATGTGACTGAAATGTTGTCAATATTTCAAAATTATATATATCGTGGTTACCCAGTCAGCAGATCTCTTAAATTAACTTTGACACTTACACCAAAATTTGTGGTTAAATTTGATTATTTCGATTTCATTCGAAAACGGTGCGTTCTATTTCAATGACACTGAGCATTCTTCCATATTTGATAATGAAATTTGAAATTCATTAAGTACCTGTTTAAAACGTAACGAAAAACATTGATATTGCCGCCACCACTGGTATTAATATAAGCTGAAAAATACTGCGAATGGATTTGCTCACAGATACTTCATACCCATGTCACCTGAATATCTCGTATTTTCGTCGGGTGGTTTCCTAGTAAATGAAGAATTTTTTCAACTTGGAACACCCTGTACTTCGAAAATGGAACGTTATACGAAAAATAGGAACATTTCTTCTTTAGAAATTAGCTTCTATCAATTGTCAAAGTTGTGCTTCTATAAAGTGGACCATCCTGTATATATTTTTAAACTTGATTGTTTTCTATGACTATCTGTGTTTACATTTTGCAAATAACAATCTTAAGAATTATGAAATCTTAGAAAGAGTATTGCTATGTATTTCCACAAATGACTAGCACAATTGAAATCAAATAAATTAACAAAAATGTGTGAATAAGATCAGCAGTTTGTTAATATACAACTTGTATTTGTAATGACTGTAATTCCATAGTCAGGGTAGCGACGATTCAAATGATGGTTTGAATCTCCTGTGTTTTTTTTTCAGTTTTAATTGTGCTTTAAATTGAGATAAAAACAAGCCGCCGAACAGATTTGTCAGGAAATTTCAAAAAAGAGATACATAGTTTATGTCAAACTTAGTGTTTACAGACATTATGTAAGCGCAAAACATCAATCCAACGAATTTACTTGTTCTTATATGAAAACCACGGCACGCTGCCGAAAATGTTCATGTCAACACAAGTTTTTTTTTGTATGTTGCCAAAGAGATTTTCTAACAATTGATAGGACAACATACAGGGTGTCCGCTAAAAGGAAGGAGGTCAATCCATTAACCATATATTCCTTGAACAAAAACAATATGAGTTTCTAGATACCATTTTTCATTTTAGCCCTTCATATTCGATATGCAGGGTGCCAAAGTTAGAAATTAAAAACTGTTTTTTTATAATTATTCGCGTATTTAATAAGATATCAAACTCAAAATTGGTACATTACTTCAGCACAAAGAGTGTGAGGAAAACAAAACAGAAAATAACTGTCAAATATTCAAAATTCTGATGGTCAAGTACACACTTACCCCCATATTTTTTTTGTACGTGCGCTAATGACTTCGAATCTATTTTTCTTCTAGTGTTCAATCATTTATGAGTATTTTTTGTCTTCTGTAAAATTTTGATAAAATCATTTGTTTTCAAGATAATTCGAAAAGTACTGGTTATTGTTTGATGCCTAGTGAAGTCTGTTGATTCATTTCTGAATGAGTGGTGCAATTCAGTGACTAAAATCACTCATTCATATGCCAACATCAGTATGACACTGAGAAGTGTCAAACTAAAAGCAGAGCACAAAGAAAAATATTTTACATTTTCATGTTGAGAACGGGAGCAGATTCGTTCCCGAAACGTCCAAAGATAAGTCAAAATTCGATAATTTTTCAATAATATATCTATATTTCTTTCCTTCAATCATTTTTTCATACAAAGTGTCACTGACAAGCTACTGGATTCTTCTTTTAGGCTACCTGATAGAAAAAATTTGTTAAACGCTGCGGCGAAACTCTCTTAATCTCAGGGTGTAGTTTATATGGGCCTACACTGTATATGTGGTTTCTGGGTAAGAAAAACTCGCTAAGTCGGACAGACCAAGTTTTAATCCCACCCAATCGTAGCATGCGTCTAAAAACTGACAGAGAAAACCAAATACAACATTTTTTTCCACGATATGATCCGAATAAAATCGAGTCCAGTAAACTATAAGCAATATATTTTAATGACGTAACTCACCTGACAGATCAGGCACACTGTTGCTGAAATTAGTATATAGAACACAAAGATTCTGTGCAGTCAATGGCAAACACTTTCGAAATTGGGGAAAACGTTTTGCTTGACGATATCAGCTTGGATATATTTTACGCACTGAACACTCCCAAGAGCCACAACATTCGAAATTTTTACTTTATTATAAAAACGGGAGCTCGCTTCTTTCGGTATTCAACAAAAACTAAAAACAGCTAAACAATTTTGAAGCGAGGATTCGGACACAGCAGAGTACCCATGGGGATAATGATAAAGTATGAAATGCTGTACAATTGGGGTGATTATTTCGGGAAATGACTGGAATATAGCAATCTCGTATTGGTTTCGCTACAACGCAGTGACATTTTGGGGCAAATCATCTAATTTGACCCACTACAAATATATTGAAATAATACGCATACGAAAATCCCAAAAAATCAAGTAGAATGAATGTACCAGCTCCTCCATTTACCTACAGACAGTATTAATTATTTTTATATTTAAAGAAAAAATAAGTATAAAGCAAAAAAAATCTGTATAAATCAAAAAAATCGTGATTTTTTGCTACTCTGATTGATTCATTTGATAACGGCGAGAAATAGTCCACGAAATTCTCAAAACCTATCTCTTTTTTTTTTTCTTCCAGATGGCCTCCCTTCCCCTGTCTCGCGGTTCCACCTACTCCTCCTCCTCCTCCTCGGAGGACTCTGACGCCGAGGGCATGCTCGCCGCCTGCAGCCTGCAGGAGATCCGCCAAGAGGACCTCGCCGCCATCTTGCCCGATCAGCAGGAGATCGACGCGTTCGACTTCGAGTGCGCGCGCAGCGACAAGAACTCCCCTGCTGCCGGCGATATGTCCGGGTCGGACATGGAACTACCCCAGCAGGCGGTGAACGCGCTGATCCAAAGGACGACGGAGAGCTCGAGCGAGGGGGAAGCTCACGCGCCGCCCAATCCGGGCAGTCTTTATGCGAATAGCCTGTTGCAGCAGTTCGTGGCGCAGACTCAGCTGCTGAACGCGCCCTGCCCGGTATGTGTTCTTGTTTTCGAATTTCTTTTAGCTTACGCAAGTATTCTCGTCTGAAAAACATGAATTTTATAATGAAAATGTGAATAAACCACTATTTATCCAGATATTTCAAAGAAACTGCAAAGTTTCATCTTCTTTGTTCGCCTCTCTTTGATACGCATTTATAAGTATTTGCCCCCTTTTTCAACGTTGGACACTATATGTTGAATTTCTACACTCCGGACTGGAATCTAGTTCATCCCAAATTCATCCTCTTTATTCGCGAGATTCACGGACTGGGCGACATCTAGGTTACATAATACGAACTTCAAACTGGGGGAAAACAAACTGTTGTCTATGGATAAAGTGCATAGACTACATTGCATTCAGCTTGCTGTAGCTGTAGTCAAACTTGTCAATGACATAAAGTGTTGGCACTGTTGGTAGTGATAATGGTTGAGTTATTAGTTCAGTGAACAGTGAACGGGTGAAGAATTGGAGATAGTTCAAACAATTCAAAATAATTATGAAAAGCAAATCAATTGACATATAAAAAAACAGCTACAACATGTTTACAATACCCAGATTCTGCTCTGCATGCACAAATACAAATCCATTGTTCTACAGGAGTTCCTCTGGACCCCAACTTTACTTCATGCGGGGAAGATGTCATCGCCGAAGTTTGTAGACAAAGTGCAAAAATGTGCCTTTTATTGAAGTCTTCTGCCTCACACAGAATCACATGAACAGGCATTATTAGCGTTTTCGATCGAATATTGACAATTAATGTCAAGAAATTTAAAAACTTATCACTCATCAGTACACAGTACACAAGCTAATGGCACTAATGGGATTGAGTGAGTATTGAGTTTGTTTTCCTCCAGTTTTGACGTGGCTTTGACATGGAACGATGAAAACCGAGCGCCACCTGGTAACATTAATTCCCGCGAATAAAAGTGATCAAACTTTGTTAATAAAGACTGATACCAAAAAGTATTCGAAAAATCATTATTCATTCAACATAAAAAGAATACAAAATCCTACATGGTCCTTCGATACTAGAGCTGTCAGTAACACTAATACTCTGACTTCTGAGCAATTATCGACATGTTTTTCCCAGATTGAGGCGATAATAAACTCACGCCCCATAACGCCTCTCTCATGTGACCCAAATGACCTCGCCGCACTCACCCCAGGTCACTTCCTAATTGGTGACTCGCTTATATCAATACCAGTGGTAGACTTGATGAGTATCCCTGGAAATCGTCTCAACCAATACCAAATGATACAGCAATCTACTCAAATCTTTAGGAGACGATAGTCAACCGAATACCTCAACCTATTGCAGAAACGCTCGAAGTGGGCCAAAAATTCGCTCCAGATTATAAGAGATAATTCGCTAGTTCTCTCAATAGATGACAATGCACCTTCAATGTGCTGGAAAATTGGCAGAATTATGCAGCTTCATTACGGTTCTGATGGCATTGCCAGAACTGCTACTATTCGAACTCCAACGGGGGTGACTAAGCGAGCAGTGACAAAGCTGTGCTTACTTCCAATGGACGATGAAATTAATAAATGAATGACTAAAGCGTTTTGAATTTTATGGTTATTGTTGAAAGACTTTGTACTTCCAAGGCCGGCGGGATGTTGAGTTTCTTCACTCCGGACTGGAATCTAGTTCTTCCCAAATTCATCCTCTTTATAAAAGTGATGAAATGTTAATTTCATGAAATTGCATAGCAACGAAAAAAAAAACTTTGACTGTTAATAAAAACTGATATCAAAAAGTATTCGAAAAATCGTTATTCATTCAATATAAAAGGACATGGAGCTGTCCCACTGAAAGCTCAAGTGAGGGGATGCTCATGCGTCACACGAATTTCGCAATGAAAATGTAAACAAACTACTTTTTATCAAGATATTTCAAGAAAAAGTGCAAAGTTTCATTTTCTATGTCCGGCTCTCTTTGATAGGCATTTATAACTATTGGCCCTATTTTTCAACGTTGGACACTTTATTCTAACGATCTACACACAGTACAGTAGCTACGTATTAATAAAGTAACCGCAACTAGTAAATATTATTTAATAGTGGACCGAATAGTCGCCATTAATGTCCAAACATTAAATATTCCTCAAACATATTCAACTACTCATATCAACTAACTGCTATTTAAGCCATGGAAAAGATCCATCCTTCTCAAAGTGGTCCAATTTTTCAAAGAAGAACATTAAAACACAAAGTCGGTCGAACACAAATTCTCATTTAGTATTTTTGTACATTCTGTTTATAATTAATTCATTGCTTCCATGAAATCAGTCTCGTTTTAATAATTTTCTCATTGTTCAATATTAGTTCATACAGTTTAGCATATGTCATTTGTTATTTTGGTTTGTATCACTTGTCACGCAGCCATTCTGTCACTTTTTGTTGTTTTGAAACTATTTCTTGCTTCTGGCTCTTGTCTAATGGCCGCCAGTGATAATTAAACTCTTGTTGAGTGAATTTCAACTTACAATTTCGAATTCTTTTCGTACCAATGTTGAATTGCATTATTAAGGCGATCTTTTGGCTATTGACTCGATTTAAAGAACATAATACTAACTTCATTACCTGTCTGATTTTCCGTTTTCCGACCTAGCTGTTAATCAGAACTCATCTCCCCACATATATTCTACTCAGGTAAGTTTTTCCCCAGTAGTTTATTGCCTATTTGTAATGTTCCAATGGTAACAGGTATTTTTATGTGTCTGAAGATGGCCGTTGAGACGAAACTAGTCGCAAACAATATGACTTGTTACTTTTGTGGTCAACCGACTTTGTGTTCTACTGTTTTTTTCTTTAATTTTTATTTATTTAATACTCTACAGGTCATAGCCAGCGCCGGCGATATACTCAAGCCGCCAGTCCTTCCCGGTACTGCTACAGACTGTCAGAACGCCAAAGTCGAAGGAGACAACTCTAAGCGCCGAAGAGGAAGGCCCAAGAAAGAGGTGAAACCCGTGGAGACCGCCAACGAGTACTGCACTAATCCCAATGTGTCACCCGACTCCGGTATCCAGAACAGCCCCGATCACGTGTCAAGTCCGGAACCAGCACTATCACCCAGCATCAAGCAAAAAGTCAAAGAAGACTCGAAGAAAATAGAGAAGCAACCGGCGAAGCCAGCGAAAACAGTACCTGCTCCAACTAAATCAAAAGAATTACCGAAAATTCCAATGACAGCCACCAGATTCGATAGGGCCCTGTACGGGGCTGTGGATCGAGTGCTGTACCCACCGAGAAGAAGAGTGGGTAGGCCCCCCATAAATAAAAAAGGGCCTGGTAGGCCGCCCAAGAGCAAACCGGAACCCGCGAAACCTACCGAGAAGGTTGTGGAGAAACAGCCCAAGGTTTTGAAAGGCAGGCACAAGACCAGGACTGTGCTTAGCGTTAAGAATAAGGTGGCCTTAAGGAGCAAATATCAAACGTTGAAGATACCCAAGCTGATGCACGACAGGCACAAACACAAGAAACATAAAAAGTACAAGTTCAAGATATTGAAGCCGGTAGCGGCGAGAGATCCTAAAATAAGCATCGAAATCGATGCTTTGGTAGCAGATTTTATCAAGTGTTGTGTTATAGCTGCTCAGCAACCGAAGGAGAATGTGCCAGAACAAATTTTGAAGACATTGAAGAAGGTAACGAAGAAGAGGAAAACTACGGATCACTCTGAAAAGAAGAAGAAGAAGCAGAATGTCACAGTGGCAGATAGCAAAGTACATAACAGTAATGAGCAACGACTGCCATTGAAGAAAAGGCATTACCACTTGGTGAACAGCACCGAAAACAAAATAGAAGATAGCGAAATTAAGAAGGAACCAGAAGAAGATGTCAAAGTAGACAAAGTGAAGGTGAAACAAAGTGTTGCTGCTAGTAAAGAGAAGGAGAAACCGAAAGGTAGCACCACTCCCAAATCGGATAGCCAAAAATCGCCAGTATCAGCGAAATGTGTACCTGTCATAAAATCCAACGTCGCATCACCCAAAGTACAAAATATCAACAACAACGATTACGATATCAAAGAAAAGAAGGAATCAGTGGAGAGTCACGTAGTAGAGGCTATCGAAGCGTGCGTCAGCCGCTTGTTCGAAGAAAAACCGCCAGCTAAATCGGAAGTGAAGGGTATCCCAGACGAAAAAACCACGAATAACGGTCCGATAACCACCCCCAAGAAACGTCATCGTTTGGAAATGGTGAATTCCGCGGAAAATCTCTATCCCGACGTGAAAACCGAAGTGGCTCCTGAGCAGGAGGAAAAGCCCAAGCCAAAGATCAGCATCGAGGGCTTCATCACGGAATTGAAGGTCAAGAGGAATCTCATTGCCAAATCGCCTGTGCGTGAAGAAAAGAAACCGGTCGAGAAGAATGCGGAGAAGAAAATCACCGAGAAGAATGCTGAGAAGAAAATTACCGAGAAGAATGCGGAGAAGACGAAGGATGCGCCTGTCAGCGGGGAAAGTGACGTCAAACTGTCGCCTGAGTCTGCGAAGAAGAAGGTGCGGAAAAGAAGAGCTATCAATAGGACTGGTGAGTCGAGTCGTTATTGAATATACAGGGTGATGGATAAAAATATAAGATATGGTTCCTCAGATCATTTCAAGGAGAAAATTTCACATCCTTTCTCTGGATTTTGGAGATTTTCTCTCCTCGTTTCTATTAATAAAAATTATAAGTATTATTTCAATATAAGTGATATTCTTCATAAGAAAGAACGCATATTAACTGATTCAGTTCAGTTCTAGTGAAATATGTCAGTTCAGATTGAAAGAATATCACTATACTTGTAGTGAGGACATATCAGATGATGTGCCCCAAAATGTCATGGCACTCAAACTTTCACTATTAGAAAGGTAGAAGAGATACTCAATCAATAGCCAGTGACCCTTTGTTCGAAAAATGTCATTAAGAATATCGGTATATTCAGAAATATAAAATTTCGCTTATTTTTGGTCATTTCCGGAACGAACCTGCTCCTGATTTCAACATGAAATTGAAAAATTATTTTTTGGAATGTGTTTGGTTTTCTCTTTTGAAACTTTTTAGTGGAAAGGAGCAACATATAATGTCAGTAGATTAGATTGATATGGGGCTCATGGCTACTAGGAGCCTCTCCACTGCGACCTTTACAGATCTATTGTGTGTGCCCTCATGTTATGTTAGAGTTCCTTGTCTAAACCCATCCTTATTACTAGACTCCATAGGCCAGACCTCAGGTCCTCCATATATTGAGAGGGCTGTGGTTTTTCCTCCCCTATCGTCGAAAACCTTAGCCTAGTCAGCCCTTCGCAGTAGCACAGTATGTGTGCTGAGGTTTCCTCATCTTCTTGGCAAAACCTGCATATGGTTGTGTCCGCCAATCCGATGTTGTTCATGTGTTTGTTGAGTCTACAGTGCCCTGTCAGGAGCCCAACCAAGATCCTTGTTGTTCTCCTATTCTGGCTTAGTAGGTACTCCGTGAATTTTGGCAATGGTTCTTTAATGAACTCTTTGGCCTGTCTCATTCCCGGCGCCTTGTTCCACCATTCTCGAGACTGCTTCTTCATCCAAGTGCTGTTATTTGTTCTTTGCAGCGCTTTCGCTATACCACAGAAAGGTTCTGGACCGATAGGAGCACATCTTGCTCCTTCTCGGGCTAGTGAGTCAGCCTCTTCGTTGCCCTTGTAGCCTGTGTGGCCTGGTACCCAGGTTAAGTACAGTCTGTTTTGACTGCCCAGCTCTTGTAGGGTTTCCAATCAGTCCCAGACGAGTTTGGAATTGATCTGCATGGAGCTGATTGCTTTTATAGCCGCTTGGCTGTCGGAGTAAATGGCGATGGTCTTTTCCTTAAACTCTTGCCTTATTAACTCTCCTGCACACTGATGTATTGCTGCAACTTCTGCCTGGAATATCGTCACGTGTTTACCTAAGCTCAGTGAGACTCTTGTCTTTGGCTTGGCTATATATATTCCTGCTCCTACACCTTCATCGGTTTTTGAGCCGTCTGTATAACAGGCCATTTCTGCATCAATTGGAGGACCTCCCTTCCATGCCTCTCTGTCTGTTATAACAGTCTTAAATTGTTTACCGAAGCTATACTTGGGAAGCATCCCGTCCGATGGCATTCCCATTATCGGGTCGGTTTCCAACTCTTTGTATAGTTCGTTGTACATCTTACCGTGCAGTCTGCTTATGGGCGTTTGCCCTCTGGTCAATCTATTGGTGACTGACCTGGCTTCGCCTTGTATGTAGACGTGAAGTGGCGGTAGGTTCAGCAAGACTTCTAAGGCGGCTGTTGGGGTTGTCCTCATAGCTCCCGTGGCTGCCAGGCAGGCTTGCCTTTGAATGCCACTTAGCCTTTGGGTCGCCCCAGCCTGCCGAGTCTTTGGCCACCATACCACCGAACCATATGCTATCATTGGTCTAATAACCCTGGTATATAGCCATATGATCATTTTTGGTTTTAACCCCCAGTTTTTCCCGCACATTCTTCTGCACAGGTTGAGGGCTATCGTGCTTTTCTGGATTATTTTCTGTAGGTGTTGATTCCATGTCAGCTTGTGGTCGAAGATGACTCCCAAGTATTTTACCTCTTGTGCAATTGGAATTTCTACCCCGTTAAGAACTGGTGGCTTCAGCCCTCTCAGTACTTTCTTCTTAGTAAAAACCACTATCGTGGTTTTAAGAGGGTTCACAGTTAGTTCCTCCTCTTGACACCACTTGTTAATTATGTTTAGAGCAGTTTGGGTATGTTCCGAGACTGTTCCTGCGAATTTGCCTTTTGCAATAATCGCAACATCGTCGGCGTACCCTAAGCAATGCATACCTTTGGATGTTAGCCTCTTCAGTAATTCGTCTACTAGGATAGCCCATAGGAGAGGTGATAACACCCCTCCTTGCGGACAGCCCCTACCTGTTCTAGCTGTGACTGTGGTTTCGCCAATGGATGATATAATTACCCTTTTTTCCAAGCTGGCGTTTATCCATCGACACAGGAGGGATGGAACCCCTTTCTTTTCTAGAGCTTTGGTAATTGACTTTGTAGATGCATTGTTGAAAGCACCCTCAATGTTTACGAATGTCTCCATTGCTATCTCTTTGTCCTCCAAGGATTTTGTTAGTAGCCTGTTTAGATCATCCAGTGCCAAGTCTGTCGACTTGCCCGGCTGATACGCGTATTGTCGCTCGTTGAGGGGGTTTGTTAATAAAACCTCATCTCTGATGTATCTGTCTATTAGTCTTTCTAAAGTTTTGAGCAGGAAGGACACTAGACAGATTGGACGGTATGACTTGGGCGTCATGTCATTCAGTCTCCCTACCTTGGGTATATAAATGACTCTTCCCTTCTGCCACTCACTAGGTATGTATCGCATAGCTATGCAGGCCTTAAATATTCTACATAGATTTGGAATTAGTATTTCCTGCCCCTTTTGGAGTAGGATGGGGTAGATTCCATCCTCTCCTGGAGATTTAAATGGTTGAAATTTGCTTATAGCCCACCTTATTCTGTTTGGCCTTGTTATCTCTGTGGCTAGTCTCCAGTCCGAGGCATTTGGCCTTTTCAGCTTGCTTGGCGGACTGTTCCCCGCCACTGGCTCGTTTAGAATTGTTGCGGCCGGAAAGTGTGCCTCGATAAGCATTGATATACTTTCCTCAAAGGTTGTTGTGTAGGTATTATCTTCCTTTTTCAAGAAACCTACTTGATTTACAGTACCCTCCTTCGCCAACACTTTGTGGGTTCTAGAACATGTGGGGGTATCCATTACCTCCTCACAGAACTTCTTCCACGATTGCCTTTTTGCCTTTCTGATCTCTTTGTTGTACTGCGTAAGTGTAGCCTTATATTCAGCCCAGTCTTGGTTGGTTTTTGCCCTGTTGAATAGCCTACGCACTTCCCTTCTGAGGGTTTCTAAGTGTTTATTCCACCAGACTGTTTTGTTATTCTGTTGCCTTGTTTTTTCAGGGCAGCTAACCTCGTAAGCTGCAAGTATTGCCTTGCTTACTAGGTTTACTGACCTCTCAAGGCTTTTGTCATCCTCAATTTCTACCATATCTCCTTCGAGAGCATCGCTGAGTGACAATAGGTATCTATCCCAGTCTGTCTCCCTGGGGTTTCGGTAAGTGATTGAGGTTCGAGGGGGGGTAACTAGATCAAATCTGATCTGTCTATGGTCGGAGCATGAAGGCTCCTCGGATACGTGCCAATTTGCTATGTTATCACATGCTTTTTCTGTCGAAAGTGTAATGTCCAATACCTCTTTTCTTGTTGCAGTGACAAAGGTTGGTTTATTTCCTACGTTAGCTATTAATAACCTTTTTGTTAGTATGAAGTCTAGTAGTGACTCACCTCTTGCATTGATGTCTGTGCTTCCCCATAGAGTATGGTGTGCATTTGCATCGCATCCAAGGATCAGTTGGAGGTTTTCCTTGGCCGCGTATGCGATTACTTCGCCTATTTGCGGTGGTGGGCAAGCCTCCTCGCCTGGGAAATATGCGGAGCTGACTAACCAGCTCTTGGCTCCTTCCTCCGTTGGCGTGGTCAGGATAGCTGTAACAATATCGGCGGTGCAGAGCACCGGAATTAGTACGCAATTCACCCTGTTGCTATGTACGATACAAGCGCGAGGTTTATTTATACCTTCTTTATATAGTACCTTACCTTGGTTGATTGTCAGGCCTGCAACCCTGCCTCCGCTCTGGAAATTAATAAAGCGGTCAAAAATTCTAACCTCAACTGCCTCAATGAACAAACTCAATTCGATAGCCTCAAATTATTCAACTCCCTGTCATTTTAACTACAATTCTCGTTTCGGTGTTCTATGTCACTTCGAATCAAAACATTCCTTGGTTTTGACTTGACGGTTGTTATTCTGATATTAGTTGCGTTTTATTTGTTTCATTCTGATAACGGTGGTGGGAACAGAATGACGTTTACAAATAAAACGAGAAACTTCATAACCTTGCTTGAGAGAATTTACATAAGAGGTTATATTTGTATATGGGAGATCCAAATGATTTAAAAAGCATGATACTAAAGTTAAGAATCTAGAAAATGAATCAACTAATATTTGGAGCAGTGATTGTGGTGATTGAAGAAACTTCTCTGAGATCGACAAAGTTTATTTTATCTGGGAATGAACATATGAAACCTGTTTCACTTGAAAGAATTATGAACTGGTGAAACTCACGCTGAAAATGTCTTCTAAAAGTCTTTTACTTTCAAAAAGGTTCGTTTTTCGTCAATCTAATATTTGATTTTTTGACACCTGTCAACAGTCATTCCACATCATTCCTTGTAGTGAGACGGAATAAAAAGTAGCAACTGGAATCAGAAAAGTTGCAAATAAAACGACACATCAAACTGATTCCGGTGGCGGAATCGGATGAATAAAACGCAACTATTGTGTTTTGTGCTCAGTGTCATTGTCATCATATGTCATTTGTCATTTGTGATTAGTTAACCTAATTCAACGAATTCCAGTTCCACATGTTGGCTCTTTTTGATAAGTGAACTTTGTCAAAAAATTTCAATTATCTAAGCTCTTATTATTGAGCTTAAGAAAATGGTTCCTTAACATTAACTCACCCGCACTATGCGCGGTTTATAAATAATTTTTTCCCATGTTTTGTATTATGTGAACTTTTTCCACCAATAATGGTAGGTACATTTAGATTCCATAATCAACACTTATGACTAACATAAGCATTGTTTCTTCTTACAGATTTTCTTTTTAACACATTTGCTGATGATGAAGGATTAATCCTTCGAAACATGTCCTTTTTATGTCCATGACCGTTGGTCATTATTAAAATTTTTATGTGGTGGAGTTGTGACTGTAAGTTCTTTCACCCCTCCTGTATCTGGGGGTATATAAACTGAAGGGTCTTGTCCTAGGGTATATATTGGCCAGACTAGAAGAATGTTAAATCAACGCATTCAGGAACATCATATGAGTTCCTTTAAAAAGAAATCAGATTCAACTTACGCTAATCTGATGTTGGGAGAAAATCACAGTCATGATTACAATTTCGAAATCTTACATGTAGAAAATAAGAGAAAATAACTCAATCATTACAAATCAAAAAATGCAAAAACCTCAACAAGTCACTTAACAATCAACTATCATAACAACAATTCACCGATTTTGAATTCAATCTCTCAGATGGTAATGTTTGCATCACTCCTTACAAGTTAATACTCTTACTTTCAATGTAGATCTTGTGCATTCTTTTCGAGAGAAAAAAAAAGGATAAGCCAGCCTGCCACAGTTTATTTTAATCTTCCAGGTCTGCAAATAATTATAAGTTAGACTTCGTGGAAGTCTAATCTTGTGATTTTTTTTTATTTTTTATAATATTCAATTGCAACTAATCACTTCACGGGCACGGTACTCAAGCTGTCTAAGACGATCAAACCCTGGTAGCACCTGGGCGACCTAGAAGTGGTTCAAAATCCACTATAAGCTGTAGGTCCCGATCTTGCTAAGCTCGCACAAGTTTCGACTTCTGGAGAGAAAGTTCCCAACTTCGAAGCAACGATGATCAAATTCTACAAGTTTTTCAAACTTTTACTTGCCTCAGGATTTCCCACTGTCAAGAAAAAGAAGAAGAAACCTTCATGCGTCGCCGAGCCGACCAAATGCAAACCCACCGAACCTCAAGAGCAAGTTACGAAGAACGCCTGTGACCGTGTACCCAAAGAAGGAGAAGAGTGCGCCGAATTTGTCCAGAGGACGGAGAAACCGGAAAGTTCCGTGGCCACGCCCGTCCCTCCGGAAAAGTGTCACGACGATGACAGTTCGTCGAGGTGGGAGTTTATGAGCGAATGCGAGAGTTTGCCCCAAGACGAAAGGTAAGGCGACGTTATTTAAACATTTAACCAAGAAAGTTCGGAACTCCTCAGTTTAATGTCCACGCTGAATGGCGATCGTTCGATGAAATCCAAGTCGTTTTTATTTTCAAAATAGAGCAATTTCTACTTTTCGGAGCGGCCAACTGTGGCGTACATTTTGAATCTAGTCTGAATATAGCTGATGATGAGGAATATAGCTAGCGATCAGCTAACGAATAATAAAATAGAAGAAGAAGAAGAAGACAACTTGGCGTCGTTGGTGTGTTGTTGATTATATCATGAAAAATAACGATGATCAACTAACTAACAAAACAACTATGAACTGTAAGACATAGACTAACCATATACGTATTAATAATCAATACGGATAATCTCTATCTGTTTCCATAGCGAAACATGAAGCCGATATTTGAAGACAAATGACTAAGGAAAAGTTTTGAAACGATCAGACACATACTGCTTTGATTGAAAGGCTAGTAATCGTCATTGTCCACCGAAACGCATGTCTTTGATGACTACGATAATAGCGCATGGCGCATGCGTATCATGCCACCAAATCCTTATGGATATTCATTTGTTGCATATTTTTGGCTTCATCCTGGCACCCGTTATGATCCGTATTGTTTATTAATACGTATATGAGACTAACAAATAACTGGAGATCAAAAATCGACACAAGTAAAACTGGTAAACAAAAATATACATAACCACAAAATTAGATCAGCTCTCAACCATAAAATCAGATCAGCTGTCGGTGTGCCTGTCAGTATTTTGTGTGGTGTGGACGGGCTGAAAGTATCATGCGCTGACATTATGTATTATGACTCAGAAGTTATGATTATCATTCGGTAATATAACGAAAATGAAAAATTATAGATGCTATTGCAAAATATCATAATTTATCTTCATTAGTGATCAATTTCATTCAGCAAAATATTCTTTCGATGAAGTGGGATAAAAAAACCTATTATATCCCATTGCTGTTATGTTTAGGGTTGTGAGCAAATTTTTCTGACTATGTCATGTCACGGTCAGAATGAAAATGACGGTCATGTCATTTATGTTTATGACAACCTTGTCATTTATTTTTTGTCAATTCAAGTTTCCGACTGTCAGAAAAATAAATGACCGTCATTAAAATATATGACAGTAACAAAACCATCAGCTGACTTTTGTTGATGTTCATTTTTAGACAAGCTACAACGCCTACAACATGCTTAATTTTTATTTTTATTGTTTAAATTGGTTGTGTATTTTTAGTATAATCCAAATAAATTTACGTTTATGTTCATGTCAATATTTGCTAATGTTTTAATCACTTGACTGATGCTTTTATATCAACATTGAAAGTAAAGCAATGAAAATGACCATAAATGACAAAAATGACATATAAATGACTGTCACATATCACAAAAAATAAATGACCGTCATTTTACATCCCTAGTTATGTTATAATGCATCCAGAGAACAATTTGCGAAAATCTAGACATATTGATGATGCCGGCAACGTCGTAATAACAAAGGAAAGCGTATTTCAACTCTGTGAGAATGTGGCTTTTCATAAAGTACGTCATAAAAATGGTGAAGGAGCCAAGTCACTTTTCTATTTATTTTTTTCTGAAGTGAAATTTTATCTTGAGAAAAAAAAACTTATATATTGAATATTTAAACCTCACATTGAGGTAAAAACCCCAATATTGGAAACTTCTCCATTATTAGTAAGGAATTTCAATTTTGTTGATATGGGTGGGTGTATTAAGTTATTAATCTAGTGAAATATCAGGTTAGGATCTTTCCAGATTTGACACTGCTGATTCATATTCATTCACAAATTGGTCTGCTTTAGATTAATAATATTAAATGAGTTCGTGAAACACGGAAAACTAATCGCACAATAGCCGGAAAACGCTCGGAGCACTGAAGCGCCAAAAACGGCGACGTCGTAAAACCATGATGAATAAATAGTGAACTGAAATAGAGTTAATAATCGGACAATTCATTGTATTGCTTAAAAAACGATTATTGCTCGTCTATTACGAAACTTTGCGGTGCCGCCACGTTCATCTTTAGATAATTCAGATTTTTATTATGTTATGTCATGTACCTTAGAACTTGAAAGTTCATAATTTTTTTTCATGATTGTTAATTTTGTTATTGGTGTATTATTATGTTATGAAGGTTATATTTTTGTCATACGCTATTTTGCCGAGTTGGATAAAATGTTTTATCCAAATCCTCTTGAATTATTGATTTGGCAACGGTTCCACACAGATAATTTATATGTGGTGTTTTTTCAACATAATAAATCAGCAAAATAAAACACCCTTTTCAACTAGATACATTGAGGTGTATTTTCTGTTCCCCTTCAAGGACCGAATTCGATGACGACCTGAAACCGGACAGGATGACGCTCAGAAGGCGCGATTTATCTCCGGCGACGTCCGTCGATGCTCGGAGCACGAGGAGCGCCAAAAACGATGACGTCACAGACGATCTCGACGTGTCATTAGAATCGAGCATAGAGCGGCTGCGCTCGAGGCTGGAGGAGCGCAAGAAACGGAAAAGGGGCAACGACGACAAACTGCCGGACGCCAATGGTGAGTGATTATGCGTTGTTTGTTTTTTTCTTCTGTGACGGGAAATGAGTTTGACGTTTCATCTCCGTTGACAGGTCACATATTGTCACTTTTCATCAAATTAGTTCTGGAAAAAAGTGAGCATTTACTTCCCTTATATACCGGGTGTAAGAAGATGATGGTAAACGAAACCATTTTGACGAACTCAATTTGGTGATGAATCAATAAATTGGACATTTTTGACAGGATTTTTTTTTTTTAATAAACATGGCGATATGAGTACATCACACTCAATCAGAATCAATAATGAAGTTTGAAATGTGACTTATGTTGTTATGGCCTTTGTTTCTGTGGCCCTTACTTTGGCGCTCTGTTCAGGACGGAGACTACTCTGGTATTTGACGGGGGGGAGGGGGGGGGGTTCTCGAGCGCCAGATTGTTTTTGAGGTAGTTTACTCTACCTGCTCTGCACGAAATATTTTTGTACAGAGGCCCAAAGTAGCAACAGTGGAATAAGGTGCAGGAGGTATACCTACCTCCTAGGTACCTCCAGTATAAACCAGGGGCCAAGAACGACGCTCTCAAATATATGCGTTCGTGGATAAAATCATATATATTTATCAATCTACTGTAGAAGTCCATGTTATCTCAAAGTGGAGTGAAGTAGTTTAAATATAATAAAAACTCTTCAAGTCGTCTCCACAACGTTTAATTTCAAATTCAAGAAGGGGGGGGACATGTTTCGGACCCAAAAGGTATCTATCATCAGCCAGAAAGAAATAATTCTACAAAGAACAACGAAACAATAAGTGGTATATCGAGTAAAACAAATTGGTACTCACGTGGTAAAACGGTTATTAGATATTGTTAATAGTTTGACCAACGTGAAATAATTAGAATACAAAGATGGAAGGTAGCGCAACTATGATCAACAATAAAGTATAGAATTTAGAATTTAGGTTTGGAGACAAAAACTTCTAACAAATTCAATAAATTGCCCTAATGGCAAATATGTAGAATATCCAGATCAGTATTCAAATCAAAGGAATGTTGGGAATTGAGGACAGGGTTAGCAAACGAACTTACAGTATTAAATTCATCATCTCTGGTAGTGTTCTTAAATTTATCTATGAGTTTAATGTGTTCATTAACTCGAGTCTGAATCCTTCTACCAGTCTGACCAATATATTGAGCATGGCAATTGGGTTCTGAACAAGAGATCTTGTAAACGCCTGATCTTGAAAGAGGGGGTACCTTGTCTTTAGTGTTAACAAAACTGTGAAATTGTGTTCAAAGTGTAAAAGTATATATATATATCATGTGAGCAATGGATAATTTTCCCCCATGTATGTTTTATGCCCTCCGCTACACGTCGAGCATCAAACTTCACACGTGGGAGGAAATGGATATCATTGCTCCCTTGATATATAAATAGCTATTATGCAAAGTGTTTCTTGCACTTGACGTAATTTTACTTCTGATGCAATTACTGGTTTTGCACTTGTTGCATAAATAACTATTAAATGGCCAGGAAGAAGATGTTATCCGAAGCGGAAGGTGAGAGACGGCTCGCCGGCAGGCAGCGCCGAGCCGCTGCACGAGCGCCGTCTGAAGGAGGAGGTGGCGTCGATGGCGTCGGCGTCGGGGGACGAGAAGCGGGGCAGGAAGGCGCCGCGGTGGCGGAAGAAGTATTTGGTCGCTGGGCTGTTCTCCGACTACTACAAGGAGGACGAGTGAGTTTACTTTTTTTTTTGGTCTGCCCTTGGAGTTGTAATATTGGTTCTCAAGTCAAGTCAAAAGGTGCTTCATTGTTCTAGAATAAGATTCTCCTAACAAAGCTTAAACGATCAAAATGTAAAATATAAAAAATATCAAATAATACAAGGATGAGACAGTACTAAAAATCAATCTACAAGTACTTATACGTTTATAAGTCAAATCAACATTAGAATAAATAAACTGACAAGATTAGTGTTCTAATGGGAATATTTCCAAATTCCAAACGTGTCTTGGAAATATCAGGAATATTGAAAATATTCAAAAAAATATTGAAATCTTTTATTATCATTCTTATTTTGTAACCCTAGACTTTGCAATGACAGATCCGTTAGACCTACTTTATGTAACCCACAATGAAAACGTGCTTCCGGAAATATTTTCGAAAATATATTTCAAACAAGATAGAAACACAAGTGAATATCTTTTCAGAAAATTTGGGATTTTGACTTTCCCATAGGAAAAATAATTGCTATCGCCCTGAAGTCGAAATTTTGATTACTTCCCATATATGTTATACCCTCCACAGATTAGAAAGTTCACCCTCAATGTCTCGGCTATATAATTTTATAATTTCGTCTTTCTGCAGTCGCAATTTTGATTCATCTCTTGGATAGTGTATTTTTTTACTGTTCATTCAGTTCATTGTACCAGTATATCACCTGACGAAGCTACTGTGTTAGCGAAACATGTCGTCTGTTTGAGAATTTTGTGGAAATCTTATCGTTTGTGAAGTTTTTACATTCACATAATAATACTATTTTCAATCATCATTCAAAGATTTTCTTTCATCATTCAATACCAATATGAATACTTCCAATTCATATTTTGTAAACTTTTAGAATGAAACATTATCGTTCTAGCGAATCGGTCCGCCTGAAACGCGCCGAAAACGCCCACAAACCCTCTCGGCTCGCCTACAACCCCTCCGAGCACCCTTACGGGCTGCTGCCCGCCCCCCACCACTGCGGCAAGTACCTGCGCTGTCGCCGGCTGCCCTTCCGGCTGCCCTACGACATCTGGTGGCAGCACACGCACTCGCAGCTGCCCGGGAGAGATGTCGTGCCCAGCTGGAACTACAGGAAGGTAAGCGGAATATATTAGTCGCGTTCGATATTTACATCAGACTGCTCCGATGAATCTGGATCGTTCGTTTATGACATCTAGATGTAGGGGAAGTAGATCTCATCCGTTCGGCAATTAAAATCGGAGCGATTGATCTGAATTTGTGAGGTTATTGTTCAAATGTTTATGTTTGACTGGCCGTTGTGCTCGTATTCGTATTTTCAAAATAACTCTTTCATAATGAAAGAAATACAACTTTTTGATTCTGAGCAAGACAAAACACACACCTTCATGGTGTCAGATGAGAATTATGAAGAAAATGTTGCTTGAATTGCAGGTCAGTAAAATGAGGCACTGTTTCTTCAGCAAAATGTTCAACTTTTTCCAAAGTACATCGTTCCTCTTCATCATTCATTCATCAAAAATAATTTGATGTCCCGAAACAAAATCGTAGATAGTTGATCAGAAGTTGAGATAGGGACATGTGAGCCGTTTTGACCAATTATGAATGGTTTAGACACAAAAAATTCTTGAACTTGGAAAATCTCGATTTCTCACACCCTATATCTCAGTAATTATAACTGCTAGACCCCAAGTATGATGGATTGTTGAAATCAGCTCACCAGGGAGAATCTCAAAATTAAATAATATATAGGGTGTTCGATTGAAAAAAGTTCAACGTCAGTGTTTTGTGATTTTTGGGGACATCCTGTATTTTTCAAAATAATTTCAAATGGTAGCCTATGTTGACATGCAACTTCCTAGAGAGGAAGAATTCCAAGAAGATAAGTGGTTAGCCTTCTAGAGACCGAGGCGTTACTGGTGGCCCACCCTGTATATCTACGAAGCGTCTCAGCGAAAATGTCAAATTGGAATCTTATATTATACCTGCGAATATTATACTATACAGGATGGTTTGAGTAAAGTGCTACTGTGAATGATCATAATAATAGCTGGTAGTAATGATTATCATAATGATTGTAATACTAATAATATTGTTTTGAAACTGAACACTAATCACTGCTTACTCTGAGAACGTAAAATAATAATAATAATAATAATAATAAATGTTTTTATTGGACAGACATTATATCAGTTGATATATACAGGTTGAACACTTAATAAATGCCTGCCAAATGGCAGAGTTCAAATTGCCTGTGAAGACAGGAATTTGCTCTTCCACTCAACCAGTAAAAACTCATTCATATGCATTCAAGTCAATATGAATGAGTTCAAATATATATTTGAAAATAACTAACTACTAGAATCTAATAATAATTGAATGATACATGCATAATCATCTGAAACATCATTATGTTCATAACAGAAGGAATAAAGATGAAAGAGCAGAAAAAAAAGAGAGAAGATATGTACATATTTATGAACTATAGTCCTATATTAGAGATTTCATAGATCAGTTGTGAACAGATATTGACAGAGAACTATATCAAGGAAACGAAATTCTCCCTGATATCAAACAATTTTTCAGCCTCTGTTTGAGGACAAAAACAGATACACTTTTCAACTCCTCTGGAAGCCAGTTGTATAGCCTAGTCAAATGAAAACTGAAAGATCCTTCATAGAAAGTTGACTTACGCTGTGGAGGAGTGATGCGCGATTTGTGTCTAATATTGAGGTTGTGAACATCCGTTCTGAATCTGATTTCATTGTATAAATATGGTGGAGTTCTCGAAATTATGATTTTGTGAAAAAGAATGCAAGCATGCACTAAGCGTCTTTCTTCCATATTCAACCAACCCAGACTTCTTAAATGTGGTGATGTAGGTGTTCCCTTCTTCAGGCCACATATGAGCCGAACACAGCAATTTTGTACTCGTTGAATGGGCGTGTACACCTTAGTAGAACTTTTAACTCAAACCATGTTTATAATGATCTTTTTATACATAAATAATGATTGACGACATAATTTGATCGAAAAACTAACTGGAATGTTTTATTTTCGGACATAAATAATAGTACCTTCTGAAAACGGACTCTCTTATGACGTAGAAACCTCATATCTCGCAATAGTTAAAAGAAAATACCAAACGCCCGACGGAGACTGAGGCAACTGATATATTAATTCCTTCAACTGTGATCTCGCGCTAATTCACTCTGTCAGAAATCATGTATCATTCATCTCTGTCTGGAATAGTCTTCTTTCAGTATTAGGGTTTTGACGTCACATCATCGCCTCGTTTTCAGAGGTCCGAAAAATCAGGGATTTCAATAGTTTTTTATAAAACGTAGGGAGCTCACAGCATGAAACGGTTTGCGGTGGTGAGCTAGTTTGGGTGAGTTCTATCGAATTATGAAATAATTTTTTTTTGTGATATAAGCCCATTCTAAGACAGTCTGATTTCAAAAGATTGGGCCCATAGATTACATCTCCATAATTGAGATGGGACAGAACTAGAGACTCACACAACATTATCTTGAGATTTTTATTCAAAAGTGCTTTATTACTATAAATGAGTTTGAGATTACCAAAAGCTCTGCGAAGTATCATGGTAACATGCGATGTGTTGAGTGTGTCTCTGTACTAGCCTTATGTGATGGCGAAATTAAACGAGTGGACTGTATTTTCGGAATCTGTTTATTGCAAAATGATTGCGAGATGTGTTCTCTACAAAGCTTACAAACAGACTGACTCTAGGCCAGTGAAATCGCGCGTAGCGCTACATAAAAAGCTCGCTTAGTAACAAGACCGCTGGGCGGTAAAACATCGAAGATTGGCGGCAAGACAAAACGGTTATTTTAAAATGAATACAGGGTGGCTAATGCGGCCGGGGCAGAGATATGCATAAAAAAGATATATGAAAATATACACGATGAGTATCTCAACTTATTGTCTAATAATATTCCTAAGTTTTTGGCATTTTCATTTAGCGTCAAGTTCACAAACAATACAAACAAATTTTCCTTGGCCTTCGGAATAGGTGCGCACCAACGTGTACAACACGAAGACGAGCACCGGCGCTTGCGAACCGCAATCCTGCAATTGCGGACCGTCGAGCGATTGCGGCGACGACTGCATCAACCGGCTGGTGTTGTCCGAGTGTCCGGCCAGCCATCGGTGCGGCAACCAGCGCATCCAGCGGCACGAGTGGTCGCCGGGGCTCGAGAAGTTCATGACCGATTCCAAAGGTGAGTATTTTCTTTTTTTTTTATGTTCTGGTTCACACGAAAAGGGATATCAAGTAATGTTCAGAGAACATCGTGAGAACCAAGGAAAATAAGGTAGGAATTGGTGTTCTTCTTGAATTTCTGGAGGTTATATGCCTCAGGGAACACCTCGCTGTTCGTTAGATGAACGAGTCTTTGGAAAGAGATGTTCTGTAGGTCTGACCACGAAGGGGTGCGAAGCCTCAACTCGACAGGATAATCTCGCGGGGACTGCCAAGGGAGGAACAATTGTTGATATTTCAGAAGACCATCGTCTATGAAAATATTTATAAAATAGCCAGATCGCCAACTTTTCTACGGTGTTCCAGAGAAGTGAGTGAGTTTGTGAGCGAGGCATCACCCACGAGACGAATTGCCCTTTTTTGGACAGAAAACAACAGTTTCAGGGTATGTTTGGGTGCTGCACTCCAAACATGGGAACAGTATTCCAGGACAGGTCGGATCTGTGCCTCATAGATCATAAGCAGCTGACTGGAAGTGAAATAAGTCCTGGCCCGAAACAGATAACCAAGTTTTTGGGATGCACGTTTAGCAATTGATCTCACGTGATTTTCCCAAGAAAGGTTATTGCTGATAGTGATACCAAGCATCGAAATGGATGTCTTCAAAGGTATGGTTACTCCTGACAAGCTTATGTTGGGCACAGTACTTCTGTTTTGTTTGCATTGAATTCTACCAAGTTATTGGATCCCCATTCGAGAATTGTTGCCAAGTCCATATTTATGTTGCCAACATTTCTCGCTCTTTCGCTTCTGATTTGCCTGGCTGGTATTGGAGTCCTGGAAAAGAAGGCGGTATGGAGGGTCATCCGCGAAGCTGTGTACTGGACATGCAGTTGCTTCCAACAAATCGTTGATATGGAGTAGAAATTGTGTTGGTGCTAGAATTGATCCTTGCGGTACACCAGCATTTATGATGGGAGTCAGATGGAACTCCGTCGACCACTACATGGGGAGACCTGTTTGAGAGAAAACTAGCTAGCAGAGAATTTGGAATATCATGTAATGCTATGTAGTTCAGTAAAACGGTAAATCCTCTGATGGAAAACATTCCTAGCCGCTTTCTAGCAATGTACTTCAAACTCTCTTGATATTCCATCTTCTTTCGAGTGCTGTGTAGATCCAGCATACCTGAAAAAGAATAAGAAACAATTGATAAAAGGAATCATTTCCCCATAGTTACTTACCTGTGATATGGACTTCTATCTCCTAGGTCCGATCTCTACTGTGGGCTTCCTCTGGTGCAAATCTGTGAAATACATATACATTGTTGAATTATCAACATTTGCAATATAATGATCCTACCTTGTAGAAAAATCAAGTAGTGGAAAAACAATAACATCGATCAACCATTAACCTTACTATATTAGTTGAAGGTTATCACTAGTCTGTATTCTGAGATTTGTCATCTTTTTCTTCTGCTCCATCTGGAATATCTAGTTAATCCTCAAGCTAAAAATAAGATAACCTCAAACTCAACCTAAAACTGTATGACCTGACAAGTATGTCATTTTGGCGGGATTCTAGGAAAGTACCGCCAAAATAGTGATATCTGACAAGGCTCTTTCTGATTAGAGTCCCTGTATATACCTTAGACAAGAGTCCGGACACAGCTATACTTCTGTCCTTTTCTGTTTTCAAAAAATGCATTGATGATTGAATAAAGGAATAAGACATATATATCGAGCTCTGTCTTTTCAATTCCCCTAGGATCAATATGATTGTCAGAAAAAATGTTGAAGGTTAGATTACTTGTCAAACCGTTCATAGCCGTAGGTAGAAGTGAGAAATAGGGCCATTTTAACTAGAATTACTATTAGATTTTCAAATAATGAACAACAGGGTGTTCAAATTTCGAATCGATAATTTTCATAATCAATTCCTGAGATGGCTATTACAAATTTTCATCATCAGATATTTCTTCACTTCATTAGATATAAGAAAGATAATTCAAGTGTTCTACGACGTGGTGTCACATATAGCCAAGACAATATAGTTGTTTTCTGTTGTGATATAAAAAAATAGAAGGTATATAATTGTTTCAATATAATTTTGATTGTGTCGGTTTCCCACCTCTTCCTGCAGTCTACTTTCACCTGTAAATTTTGAATTTGATAAAACACCGTGGACTGATGACAGCACATTGCTATTTCTCTAAATCTTCTAGTTTTGATTTCAAACTTTCAATTTCTTTCCGCATCATCTCATTCTCATTTTCTTTCTCTGCGATCGTATCATTCAGTAATTCCCAATACGATGAAGACAGAACTCTTTTTTTGAACGTCTCTATTTCATAAATTGACGGCACAGCATCAGACTCTTTCAATTTGAAATCAATCAGCTTGAAAGAATCTCTATCAAAATGGGCCTAAAATTCATCTTTTTTGTACTGTTTTTTCAACTAAATTAGAATATTTACCTCACATATTGCGGAATTCTTGAAATTAATTTTCCATTCTGGACGTTTCATTGCATTCTTTCATGGCATTATCTTTAAAGGATCATTCGGAAAATTGAATAACTTGAATCCCTTCTCTAATGAATTATCGCAATAATGTACGCAGCAGGACATTGAAATAATTTAAAATGCTAAATTTTGGCGGTCATAAAATTTCAGTGACAGTGACAGAAATTCGAAATACCTAATTTAAAAAAGCGGGCGGGACGACTATGGTGTTTCGTCACATTGTCAGGTGGGCAAACCAAATGAAACAAAATATTAAAAACCCCAACGGCTGTCAGTTTTGTGTCCGGACTCTTGTCTAAGGTATATACAGGGACTCTATTTCTGATAACCTTCCTTGTGTGTACTGTGCGTAAACGAAGTCGTGCCCTCCATCTTGAAAATAATCTCATTGAATAGAACCCTATCAAAAACCCTTTTTTCCAACCAAATTGTCAGGTCATTGTCATTTCCAGAACCCCAATTATGTCTAATATGAACAGTCTGTATGTTGTTGATTGTATGTTCTTGCTAAGAAAGATTTTCAGTCACGTAAAATTCTCAATGCCTCGAATAAATCAAGTGCTACGTGGAACATCATCAACTCAACAATAAACATGAGAGACACGAAAGTTCCACACTCTATAACTACTGAAAATAATGTGATACTGAGTGATACTTCGGAAATCGCAACCGCATTCAATGATTTCTTCATAAATAGTGTAGGAGATTTAACACGATCTTTAACAGTCAATGATAGTTATGATATGAAATTGGAAAATAGCAACTCAAATTCTTTCTACCTGACTCCCGTCGATTGCCAAGAGATATCTGAAATCATTAATACAGTTTGCTCCAAAAACTCGAGTGGAATAGATGAAGTACCATGTCGAATATTGAAGCATGTATTGAATGAAATAGTCGAGGTGTTAACATTTCTTGTCAACATATCTTTTAAATCAGGTATATTTCCGCAGCAACTCAAATCTGCTCTAGTTATCCCAGTTTATAAAAAGGGTTGTCAGTCGAATATGTCTAATTACAGGCCGATTGCCTTATTATCGGTCTTTTCAAAAATATTTGAAAAAGCCTTTCAAGTGAGGCTTCTGAGATATCTAAATAAATACAAGCTATTAACCAATAGACAATTCGGCTTCACAAAAAATCTATCTACACAAGAAGCATTGATGTCGTTATATGAACATCTCTTAAACAATTTTGACAATAAATTGAAAACTTCGACTATGTTTTTTGACTTCCAAAAGGCATTTGATGTTGTCAACAACTCACTACTATTGAATAAATTAGAATTGTATGGAATAAGAGGACCTGCATTAACCTGGGTCAGTTCATACCTCTCACAACGAAGCCAGCAGGTCTGTGTAAAGAAAAATGGGACTACAACAGTGTCGAAGCCATTGAATGTGTCAAGTGGTGTTCCTCAAGGTAGCACCCTAGGACCAACTTTTTTTATCATAATGATCAATGATATCTTCCTGAACGTTCAAGATGGACTCCTGACACTGTATGCTGATGACACATCAGTGGTCTTAAATAGCAAATATTATGAAGACCTTGCTGAAAAGTCAACCAACTGTATCAGTAACATGAAAAGGTGATGTGTCACTAACAGACTGATATTGAATCTATCTAAAACAAACTTTGTTTTATTCACACCTATAACAACGAAATCTGATATCTGCTTATTGGTGAGGCCTGGTAATGAAAATAATGTATCCATCAAATAACGTAATTCAGTCAAATTCTTGGGTTTATATGTGGATGAAAATCTTTCTTGGGAGACCCACACACGAAATTTGGTAAAATCATTGTCACCAAAGAATTTTGCAATTTTTCAACTAAGAAAAGTAACAAATACCGAAGCTATAATGGCATACTACTATAGCTGTGTACATTCTCAACTAATGTATGGCATACTATGTTGGGGTAATAGCTCTGGTTCTGAAAAGGTATTCATCAGTCAAAAACGGATAATAAGAAGTATATTTGGTATGAGCTCAAGGGACTCATGTCGTCAGATATTCATTTCTCAAAAAATTCCAACCATTTACAATATTTACATTCTGGCCGCTCTATGCTTCACTCACGATAATCTTAAAAATTTCAAAACATGTGGTGATATTAATCATTATACAACAAGAAATGCAAATAAACTATTCATTCCTCCAGCTTCACTTGCACAGATTAGGAAAGGTCCAGTCATAACAGCTCTCAAAATATATAATCATTTGCCTGACTCACTCAAAGTTCTAAAGAATCCTCTATTCAAGAGACATTGCAAATTATTCCTCAAAAATAAAAGCTTCTACTCTCTCATGGAATATTTTGATGATTCATTTTAATTTGTATCATTCGTCTTAGAGTACTTCTGTTTTATACATAATTATTTGTAAACTGTTCTATGTCTGTTTTGTTTTTTTTTCTCCCAGATCTTGGGCTAGTGTCTAGTTTCAATATTATTACAGTTTTTATCCTAAATTGACAATTTCTATACTTGTTGTGCAAGTCTTATGAAAAATAAATAAATACTTACTTACTTACTTACTTACTTACTTACTTACTTACTTACTAATCTTACCAAAAAACATTGAAATTTTGTTTTATGGGATAAATTTCTTTACTGACACAAATCGTTAGGGGGAGAATTTTTTTTTCAATATTGAATGTCATGCTGGATAAAGTCTTAGCTTTTTTTTCGGTTCGTTGTAAAGATTAATAATTCGGGTTTTGTTGCATTTAGACATGTTAATTAAAAAAACTGCCAGGAAACTTCTAAATGCAAGAAGATTCACATTGAAATGTGAAGTTTATTTCGACACTAGAAGCGCTCATGCTGGATAAAGTCTTAGCGATATTATTTCCTCGCAGTCTGAGGCATCAGGACAAAGCTGCTTATCAACCAGGGCGATTTCATCCTCAAATGCGTCGGCGGAGTTGTGTCCTCCATCTTGAAAATATTCTCATTGAACAGGACCCTATCAATAACCCTTTTTTCCAACCAAATTTTCAGGTCATTGTCATTTCTAGAACCCCAATGACGTCTAATGTGAACAGTCTGTATGTTGTTGTTGATTTATCTTGCCAAAAAGCATTTAATTTTGTTTTATGGGATAAATTTCTTTTCCTACGACTACTACTGTAAGTGATGGATATTGTACACAAAACAATGGCAGTAAGCTTCTCCTTACACACGTGTGCGTAAAGAGAGCGATCGCACGGTTTTCATAGGTATGTTGATAGATGACTGTTTTGTTGCTTAGGCCGCTTAGGCGATGTGTCAATAACAATTAACAATTTCTTTAATGTCACTAGCTAGGTGGGTAGGTACGTAGGTACTTATCTTTTTATCAATCAATTCAGCAATCCACCGAAACCGAAAGCATCAGGAGAGTTATATTTTTTGAAAATATGATCATTTTCTATTGAGAATCCACAATTTCAGTTCAAAAAAATGATGTCAAGCGATGACGATGAGCAGATTATTTCTACACCACCAGAAATGTTGGAAAAAGCTAGAATGGTAAAAAATGAGTTGCCACCCGCTAAGTCTCGTAAATGATACGAAATAGCACATAAAAAATTCCTGGACTGAAGAATTAGAAATTATAGCGTGTCATTTTCGGAAAATATCCTTTTAGAATATTTTCAAGAATTACCAAATTTCATGAAATCATCATCATTCTGGTCGATATATTCCATGTTACGATCAACACTAAATATCAATCACAATATTAATATAGCAACATATCCCATTTCCTCAAAAGGGAAGGATGGATTCCGAAGTAAAAAATCAAAAATACTTAATGCTGAACAGATCAATTACTTTCTGCAGAATGCTCCTGTTGAAGGTAATTTTTCAAATAACATACATACTCAACATTGAATTGATGAATTCCTTTTTCTTTAAATAACAGGAATAATTAAGAAAGATCCAACTTTGGAATTATATTCATAAAATATCTACTAATACGCAGAAACGGTGATAGCTCAGTTGTTAGAAGCGCTGGCTCCGAGCCAAAGGGTCGGTGGTTCAGGGCGCAGCTGGAGAACTTTTTTTTTTTTCAATAACGAATACAGAATCACTCGTGCTGCACTGTTACAAATAAATAACCATTATGAATGTTGATTTTATATTTTTATACAATGTGTTTTTGGCTACCTATTAATAAAGCTGTTTAGATATGAAAAACGGTTCCATTTCAGTTCGAATTGAGGAAAATGTCTCGGTATGCAATGTATCAATAAACAAACACAAGGATTGTGATTTGTAACTTTTCATGCAGCTGGCTTAGTGACGGGAGACGTTTTATATTGCTATTCGTTATTTGTGCCTTAATACAATATATGCACTATCCGGAAGAAAATATAGTGTAGTCGTAGAAAAAGTATAGTACAATTCTCGAGTTGTAAAGCAATTACGCACTTGTGGAGTTACACACTCGCCGCTATGCGGCATCGTGTGTAACTCTCTCCACTTCGTGCGTAATATGCGTTTTACAACTCTTGTTATGTAATATACTATTACCTACGGCCACTATAGAAAGTAGGCAAGAACACACAAGATACAGCCCCAGTGAGTAGCTCTTCACGCACAGTAAGTACATCGCACAGTTTTCGTTTATTCCGCCAGTATAGGTATGTCATGATCGCGTAATCGCCGTCAACAGCGGATGACATAACTGTCAAGAATTATAATTCAGATTGTTTGACCAAACTTTTTGGATGTTTTATATGGCAGCAGATAAAGTATAGTACGTCATGCGTGTTGTAAAGCAATTATGCACTCATGCATAATGTACTTCTTACAACACATGTTATGTAGTATAAATAAATAAATAAATAAATATCTTTATTTTCCTTTGGACTCTCTAAAAAAGTATAGGAATAGTCAGGTTGTTACAAGTATATGAATCTAAAACTAGATAAATGACAGATTACATAATATGATAGACGAACATTATATAAAAGAGAGAAACATGGTCATTTATGAAAATATTCGTTAAGCGAGTAGAAACACTTTTCTATGAGAAATGATTTCAAGCATTTTTTGAAAGAAGATACTTTTTTTGCATTTTTCAAATATTCAGGTAAGTTATTGAATATTCTAGGACCTAGGATATTTGGTGTATTACTCAGAATATTTGTACTGCTTGGTTGAATATAGAATTCGTTCCTCGAGCGAGTATTCACATCATGTTTATCACTGTTGCGAGCAAACAGTTGCTTGTTAACAATAAACACATACTATTATTAACACCAAAAAGGGCACAAATCGTTAGGAAGAGACATGTATCCGATAAAATAAGTTGTATTTTTACTTTTGAATGTCATGCTGGATAAAGTTCTAGCAATATTTTGTATTGTCAGGCTGGGGCGTCCGAACGAAGCTGCCCATCAACCAGGGCGAGTTCATTCTCGAGTACGTCGGCGAAGTAGTCTCCGACCAGGAGTTCAAGGAGCGCATGGGCACCATCTACGTCAACGACACGCACCACTACTGCCTCCACTTGGACGGCGGGCTGTTCATCGACGGGCACCGCATGGGCGGCGACGGGCGGTTCGTCAATCATTCGTGCGCGCCCAATTGCGAGATGCAGAAGTGGTCGGTGAACGGGCAGTTCCGGATGGCGCTGTTCGCGCTGCGAGGCATCGAGGGTGGGGAGGAGTTGACTTATGATTATAACTTTTCGCTGTTCAATCCGGCAGAAGGTGAGTCGTTTTGTTTACTGATTTTTTTTGGGTGAAAACTTCTGAAGGCGCGATCAGAACTTTCACTTTTTTTGGGTAAACAAAATCATTGGCACCACGCTTTCCATGAGCTATTGGCAAGGTGATCGACCGTTGGGGGCGCTGTTTCAAAACAAGATGGCGGCAAAGAGTGTGTAGTTTGTTTACAAAATTTCTTGAGATTTGCATACATTTTCCTCTTGATATTTCATCGTGTTATTTGTGTTTATTGTTGAACTTTTTACTGAAATCATAATATTTTTTGTTGGATCATACTGTTTCATCGAGATGTGAGGAAAATAACTGTTAACTACTGACTGAATCGTGGACCGAATAGTCTGAGCTTTCTTCAAACCAGTGCATTTCTGTGGGACAGCTTTATGGGATATCACAGATCACAAGCATATTCACTATCATCAGAAGCTGATATATTCACCATCATACCTCAATAACTCCACTCTTCAAGCAAAATGATCCTACAGACCACAAATGGTGATACCAGGAGTGAAGTTTTTCAACAGTGAACAGCCTTCTGGTTGAAAACCATCCCTAAACAATTTGTTAACCTATTCGACTATTTTGTGCTACATATTATAGCCATCAGAATCATGTGCAATTGAACCATACAATAAAAATCAGCAGCAACCAGCTCTAATGAGTCTAAACCAAGAAATAATTCAACACCAATGGCGTCCTGACATTACTGTGGATTTTACAGTAGATACAACTATCAATGGCCTATCTTCAACAATATTACTTCCAGGCTTTGAGGATTGTTTACAGTGCAACTCCCATACCTCATATATAATGGTGCTCCACTGCAATAACAGCAAATTGTCATGATCCTATATGCCATGTGTGTTAATTGTATCCATATAACACACATTTCATAATGTGAATATTCCTCATATACTTAGAGTTGAGGTAGGTGGCATACTAGACTGAGTTTCCTTCTTATTGGAATTCATTTAATATCTTGTTAAGGTAGTTTTTTTTACCATATTGATGAAATCATTGAATAATTTGGAATTCCACCACTTGAAACATTGATCAAATGACCTAGGATTTCAGTTAATGTATTTACACAGTATATTATCATAAATTTTGTGATTTGATATCATTTTGTAATCCTAAATTCTTCTAATTGAAAATATCTATCTTATCAATCTGTATAGTTCATTATGTTTTGTATATTTTGGAACTGAATTAATAATAATTTTCGAAAATGAAAGTACATTGACATAACATGTGTTTTACTGTACTCATGCCACTACCAAAAAAGTCAAGAAAGAAGTACCTACAAATAGAAGGATCTTCCAGTATACTCCTTCCCTCAGTGCTCATGTATACTGTTTTTCCCTGAATTATTTTACAAGATACCTTCATAAAAATTAACAATTATAAATGAATGTGAAATCCAGGACTTTCATATAATGTAATAAATAAAGAAACAATGAGCAAAAGTAAGTATCTACCTGATAGGTACCTATTTTAAAAGGAATCAGTAAAGATTATAAAGTGAAATTTCGAAATTGCATCAAAAAAGAATGAGGTGTTGATTGAGGTAGTTGTGGAATTGAAATTTGAATTTTGAAAACCTACAATAAAACATTACAAAACAGAAAAAAAAGTAAAACTTTTACTTGCTAAGATTATTCATATGATGGCATACTTCAATCTGACGATGCCTACCTGTTACTTGGTGTTGTTATTGAATGCTCAATAGCTTCCGAAAGCGATCGCAGAGGGTCTGGTAATATTGAACCTAGTGACTGAATCCACAACATTTTGGGGCAAATCATCTGATTTGTCCTTACTACACGTATATTGAAATAATATTCATATTTTTATTTTATAGAAACGAGGAGAGAAAATCCCAAAAAATGTGGAATAATAAAATATATCATAATTCTCTACAACTCTGCAACATCCTCTCCTTTAATTACCAATACTTTGAGAATAAGGCAGACCGAGACGATTAAATATATAGGAGTAACTATCGATAAACATCTAAGATGGAACATACATATCCTGAAACTATGCAATACCCTGAGAAGTATCTTATACCGATTCAAATATATCTCCAAATTTTTCGAAGAAAAACATCTCAGAATGATTTATCACGCATTGGTTGAATCTAGATTGACATATGGGATAATAGGGTGGGGATGTGCACTAAAAGAACATATTAAAAATCTGGAAGTTCTTCAAAAAACCTTTTTGAAAATTTTACTAAACAAACCCTCCCGATACTCATCTGATTTGATATACTCCGAATCTAAAATCCTTGACATTCGTCAACATTATTTTTTTATATCATCCTGCTTTGAATTCAAAGCTAAATCTAATCTAAAGAGACTAGAACATTCTTACGGAACAAGACACAAATCAAAATATTTCAAAACACCGCTTGCTTCAAAATCCATAGGACAAAGATGCTTTTCGTATTTAGTACCAAGATTTTTCAATTTTATTCCTGTGGAAATAAAAGAGACATCTTCTTATAGAGGGTTCAAGAAAAAGCTAAAAACATATTTACTTAATTCAAACAGACTAACTGTTCATGAGCTCGTGGAGGCTGGTGTAACGGTGTAATCAGATATCATTCCATCTCAGCTCATTAGTTTAATGTCTTCCTTCAATTTCTCCTTAAATATTTTCTATATGTTAAATTGCATGTTTATTTTGTAATTTTCATTTTTCATATTTATTGACCACTTTGTTGGTTGTACTAGGCATGTGTATTTTATCAAACTTCAATTGCCTTCACTATATTATTTTTAAGCTGATTTAAATTGTATGTGTTTTGTAATTTACATGTTCGCATTTGGTGACCGATTTGTCTGCTTTGCTGCTTGTATACTGGACATGTGTTCTTTACCAATTTCAGTCATGTTAGAGAATCTTGATTTTGAAATTAAACATATTTTTTATTCGCTTCACTCAATATTTATCGATACTAATTTTAAACATAGGCTACACTCACACCACAGACAGTCTTTGACTTTGTGGTTTTCTGTTTATTTGTGAAAAAATTGTTATCGCCGTCATCTAAATGAAATTGTATTTACACATTTTTTTTATACCAATAAACTATATTATTATTATTATTTCCAGGTCAAGAGTGCAAATGCGGCAGCGAAACATGTCGCGGCGTGATCGGCGGCAAGTCGCAGCGCGTTCGCCAGCTGCCCGAGCCGCCCGCCCCGCCAAAGCACCCGGGCAGGGTGGGCAGGCCGCGCAAAACGGAAGCGAAAAAGAAGAAGGCGACCGCGGGCGGCCAACTGTTGCCCGCCCTGCCGCCCGCCCAAGCACAGCCCGCGGTGCAGGTCAGGGTGGGCAGGCCGAGGAAGACGGAGGCGAAGAGGAAGACGACTGTTGAGGGCGGGAGGGAGGGGGATAAGGTGGTGCAACAGGTGGTGGCGCCCGTGATGCCGATGATGCAGGTCAGGCCGATCAGCCACCAGCAGCGGTGCTTCGTGCTGGAGAGGCATTGTTTCCTCTTGAGGAATTTGACGAAGGTTAGTGGAGAACGCGATACACGAGTCAGTAGTTCATATTCATAAAAAGAAGCCTCACCTTTTACTTTCAAAAAATGAAGCAACTCCTTCAAGGTATATACATGAAAATAATTGAAGGAAAAGGTATTGCTTCGAGGGGTTTGCTTCAAAGTAAATGGTCTAACTCTTTTCTTATTTATAAAAAGAAGCATTTGCTCAAAAACTGGAGGATGTGCTTCTGAAAAAAGGAATCTAGGTTCACAACAACTTTTCATACTCTATTCAGTAGCTGCCCAGCCATCACACAGCTTATTGTAACGTCACATTTGCATATTTTGAATGGTGTGGACGGGCTTGAGTGAGTGATCTTTGGTTGTGTAGTCCCAGTGCTCTGTTTGTTATGGCTAATATGGTGCATTTACTTACAAGAAAATACTACAAACCAAGACGCACGCCACGTGAATCAGATTTCAAAACTTTATTTAGATTTGAGGAGGATAATGTGATGGTGAATGAAAGTATTTTTGCGTTATTGCGCAAAAACTGGATTCCAGAGCGGAATTGCTAAAGAATTGGGATGTACACAGCCCACAGTGTCCAGAATATTTCATGAGGTGCTTGAGCGAATTGTACAACAGAGCAGCGAATGGATATGGTATTAAGTATAAAACGAATAAACTGCGCTGTCGCAGAACACATGTGAGCGTTGATTCCACACTACAAGTCTCAACCTGTCATAATCGCTGTACATTCTTCTTCTTCTTTTGTGCTTATTGATTTCCTGACTCCTTGCCAATTTCACCAGATCCGGTAATGGCAATACCTTTAACTCCCAAATATAATATAACTCCGAAGCATTTCCTTGCAAGGAAGAGGTAGAGATTATGAATACAAATTAAAGCAAAACCTTTTACTTCTACCTCTTGCTTCTAACTTTTACAAAAGTAAATGCTTCATTTTTATAAATATTGACTATTATGTATGTAGCGAAACGGACTTTTTAATCCGGGGTGATTAGCGCACGGCCTTTCTGACAGTGGTCTTCCGATACGACTGACCTCGGTCACCTGTTAATTTGTTTAATTAATAGAATAATATTTTGTGGAGTACTGGTTCTCTATCACGTATGCAACCGCCTATACGGCGCTGATTTGTTTATGATTGTCTATCGAATAGTTAGTAATATCTGGTGCCTTTTTGTTTTGTGACCAAAGCTATAACCTAACTCAATGAGAGTTTTGGCGGGTTTTGCACATTCTTGTCAAGAGTCCGATCAAGTGGAGTGAATGTAAGGAGACGATCACGACTTGGCTCGATTTTTCTGTCGCTACGATTATGTTTTTGGCCTCCAAGGCCCGAATATTAGTGTTATTATTCGTGCCCGTGCCTGCATCATTTTAGGTAAGCAAACTGAGGGAAATTGTAGGAAGTATATTGAGATCTAACCCTACATTTTGTGAACTTTTCGACCGACATGCATTATTTTAGTGGCAAAATTGTCTCGCCTTGAAGCTGCCGAATAAACGATCCATTTCTCCAACAGCCTTATCTTTAATTTGGAAGCAAATACCAGGCACCTACCCACATAATTACCTAAAGCCCTGAGTTTTGAGATTACCGTAGCAGGTATCTGTAAAAAGACTAAACTGAACCTAACATTCTAACATTTGCTTTCTTGAATGAGTGCTTGAGAATTGAGATATAGTAACACTGTTCAATTTTTTGTTAAAAACAATTAGTCAACGAAATTTCAACATAACTAAAACCACAATAAGTATATGAAGGCATTGTTTCCTGTTGAGGAATTTGACGACGTTTAGTGGAAAACGCGATACACGAGTCAGCAATGAGAAGCGCAGAAGACTAAAACGTCAATGTCATTCGTGATTATGTCACTGAACAGCTAAACATCTGAAGGGTATCTCCCACGTAGTTATGAATTTGCGCCTTCGAAGTGCATACCTGACTCACGCGTCCCAAAAGACTTATTCTAATAATCAATATCCAAGGTACCAATGTATATAGCTTGATGTCGGATTGTTGGATATTGTGTGTCCAAGTGTTGAAATAATGACTAGCCAAAATGGACAGTGGCCGTAAAGTAATTCTTGTTGTTTTTCACCTTTTTTGAAGTAAAAACGCTGTAAAGTTGCATTTAATATGCTGATAAGCTGTTTGAAATAGGGGCGTAAAGTTAGTACGTCATCAGTTCAAGAAGCAAGAAGAATAATATATGTATGTATCCCTAAGCTATATAAATTGCCGTAGGTACATTGATGATATTGCCTTATGCGCTGTTTTACACGCATTAAGGGTAATAATCATTATGATGAACAGTTTTATCATCATCTCAAAACTTTGACTCTCTATGTACGTTCCTACGCCTACTGAGGGCAGAGCTCTAAGATCGTTGACATTGGGCCTATGGAGTCATTTCTAGAAAAAATATATCTTGAAATATATAGCTCTAGAATACCTCAAAATAATGTTTTGAGATTTTTTTCCATCAATTCATCGTATACAAAGTTATTGAGAACGCGAAAATGAACGAGGGAATTTAAACGATCAAACATGACCGCGAAATGTGTGACTTCAGTGTGCAGCAATTTGGATTGGTATCGCCCTCACCTTCTCGCTGGAGCCAATAAAATGCACAATTGACTTGACAATAATACCAATTTGGACAGAAAGCTATGATTATTAGGATATCCATTCCTCGATTTTTTCATTTTTTGCAACTAATATAGGTCCTGTTAGATAACTCAAGTAATAACTACTGACCTGAAAATTCGTGGTAATAATAATTTGCATTACTTAATCAGTTAGTTGGCTGATTTCTGTTGAAGGAATATTCAAAATTGTTAGTGAAATTTCATTTTGTATTGAATTACAGTGCATATATTCATGACATTCAGTGTCAAAACCCTTTCGGTAAAGTACTTTCAAATTTACCTACTCATCTATTATGTGCCTACCTATACCTATCTACCATAGGGGAAGACAAATTCTGAATCAATCAATACAAAATTGCTTACTTGGTTCTATTTCTATTGATTTTAGTGCAAGCATCACTGCCTACTTGTCAAGAATATTGAGAAATAAAAACAGTTGAGTTATGCAGGGATTGGAGAATGAGGTATTTTTAACTTGGCAACATTGTGTGAGCGCCATTTGCTTCATCTCTTTCTCTGTGGACATAATTGCTAGATTAGCAATTGAAATTTCCGGGAATGAGTGCTTGAGAATTGAGATATAGTAATACTGCTCAATTTGTTGATAAAAACAATTAGTCAACGAAATTTCAACATACCTAAGACCACAATAAGTGTATAAAAGCGTCACATTTTATCCTAGGTAATCTTGAAACTAATGGAATTCTTTGGAGTTCAGAGTAAATAGAATGTGATCAGCAGTGAATTACCAATCAACTCATCACCTACTACATCGTAATTTCGGATCTTTGCATTCCTTGCACCATCTTGCACATAGGATCATTTCAAGGACTCAATATTCAATATTGAAATAGCATTTTCTTATTTGGAATAAATCATTTGTAGTTCGATTTCATCGTGAATATGTGGTCAGGTTATCACTGTTATCTTCTTTTCATAACATTATCGCAAAAAAGGGTAAACTTTAACGATACTGGAAAGACCCATTCTCAAGCTTTCTTCAATTATTGTCCCTTCAGCTCCAACGATTCTCATAATTTTCAGGTTAGGAAAGTTCGCGACAGATCGCCGAGCACGACGTCGGTAGCGTCGTCCAGACAACGGACGGCGACGCCGACCGACGCCAGCGCGTTCGCCAATCACCTGAACGCGCTGAAGCAGCCGCGCAGCATGAAGACGCGGCGGGTGGCGCGCGGCGAGGACGACCCTGAGCTGAGCAAAACGGTGAAGTTGGCCGCGTTGCTCAAGGAGATTTGGGGAGCGGTGACCGCGGCGAAAGGTGAGTGTTTGACGCTCTGTGTTGTTCCTGTTATTTTATCACGCTATGCAACATGTTTTTGGATGATATCAATTGGTTGAGTATTTTTAGAATTTTGACTTCACTTGTCAGTGATTTTTATAGAATGAAAAGTAGTTTCGACTAGGGTCCCATGATGTGACTTGACGTATTTGTCATCTTAACAGGTTACGGGCAGATCCTCGTCTCCTCTCACTCTAAAGTGTTTGTAAATCAAATCAAATATTTTATTCATTCAAAAGACCTAATTTAGGTATAGAATTTGTCAAGGTCAAAATACAGTACATTATGAATAAAATTATGAAATGCCTTAAAATGTAAGTACCTACGTAAAAACAACACACAAATAAAAAATGTAAAAATATGCAGTCACATAAACAGTTCATTGATATCATAAAATATATTTGCCATCAGAAAATGTTTAATGGAATTTCGGAACTTGGAGTGTATTGATTGATTCTTTATATCTTCAGGTAATTGGTTATAGACTCTTAGGCCAGTTGGAAGTGGACCACTTGATGATATTTGAAGGTTATTTTGACTTGGATATATCAACTGGTTGTATCTGGTTTGATAGCAATGTATGTCCATATGCCTTATTTTATGAATGTAACATGCTAATTCCATTATATAGAGACATGCTAGGGGTAATATATTCAACTCAGCAAATAGCAGCAGTTATACAGTTCCATCTTTATTTTTTTCTGGGGATAAACACTAGATTTTACATTTGTTGATTTTTAGGTTATATTGAGGACATTGGCGTATCATACGTAATTTACGCATGTAATTTCTTATTGAACTCTACATATTATTATATCCAAATGATGATGATAATTTTCGAGTTTTCCATTTTTCAACTCCAGCATAATCTTTGTGAGGCAAAGAGCAAATTTTTCTGAAAGTTTTATACGTTTCACCGTTTTACCAAATGGGACTGTTCTTAGGCATTACCTATCACTAAATGAATTTTGATTTCAGACTAAGCCTTATGATTAAGAAATGGTGAAAAATGTTATGTAGGTATTCAAGCTAATGAGCTCATATGTCATGTGTGCTGTATATATTCATGTTGGTAATCATTTTTGCAGTTTTTCACGAACACTTAATATTTCCTGAATGTAGGTATAATTTTTTAAATGGTAGAGCATATGCCTCTTCTATTAATCCTCCGTTTTAATCAAAACTGTTTCTACTAAAGTGCGTGGAATGGATAATTATAGGCACAGTGAGAAAGTATAATATGTGATTTCGTAATAGTTTCACCTCGAATATTTTGCTGATGTATTTACCAATTTTCTCCATTCGGTCACTTCACTTTCCATGTTTTAAGTTCATTTGCATTTAATGAAAAGCTGACAAATTCAAATTTGCCATCCAACTGATTGATACAGCCTAACGCAGCACAATTTATTTGAATAATGTCGTATTAAGATCAAGTATGAAATTAAAATTTTATAAGATCTCTTTTAACGCATATGAATGTGACGTGACAGCAATGTCATGTCAGAGACGCCAATACACGAAACCAAAGTCACTAGATGATTAAAAGAGAAAAAAGCTATGATCTGTCCGTGCCCTGTTAGATGACAAATACGTCAGTTTGCATCAAGGGACCCTAGTTTCGACTAGAGTCACGGGATGGTATTAGTTAGATGTGAGTTCGGACACAGAAATGACAACTGTTAGTGAACAGCTCGTGACGTCACCCAAGAGAGGCCAGTGTTTTACCACTTGTCGACTAACGCTATGGTTTCGAAGCGGTCCCGAATTCTTTTGTTGTTTATTCATCAAAATAATTGGCGGAAAAATTACTTTTTTGTGAAATATTTTGTGTGGTGATAGGCGAAATAACAATGCCTTTCAAGTGTTGTGTTTGTTCCCTTTTGTCGGGGGAATTATGTGAATGTTCCAAAAGTTCATGCTTTTAGTTTCCCGTTGGACAAAGAACTATCGAAAAAGTGGGTATATGCAATTCACCGCGAGGATTTTACTCCATCTAAGTACAGTAGTAAACAGAGCTTAATTTATAATGATGAGTTAATAATAGAAGACAATTATTCTCTCATAAAAAGTATGAGTAGAGGAAAAAGAGAAAAGCTTTCATTGTGCAGTTAGTTTTGTATTCGTATATTATATTCAACAAAATCATCTCTGAATTCGAGGAAATTTTCTTGAATGTTCTCATAATAAACGGGCATTTTAAACTCAATACATTCTCAAATTTCTTTCTGAAAACGGTCATTTGCCTCGTGGCAATGAATGCAGAATTCATTCCAATGATCAAATTGCAACTATCATATCAACATGTACTACAAACACTCTACTTAAAAAGGTAAAACTGCACTAAAAATCATGCGATGGGTTTTTTTCGAAAATTGTTTTGGTACTTACGTATTTTTGTCTGAAAAACACGAATTTGATAATGAAACTGTGAACAAACCATTATTTATTAAGATATTTGATATAAAGTTATAAATTTTCCATCCTTTTTCGCCTGTCTTCTGGATGGCATTTAGAACAATTTTCCCTTCTTTTTTCATCATATTGGAAAATTTATATATAACAATGTATGACACATTCTTTTCTATTATATAATTCAACTATAAATATGATTTTCTTGAGATTTATCCATATTTAGTGAAAAGAAGGAAGAATATCATTTAAAATATTGGCGTGTGTAATGTCAAAGCAATCTATTGACATTTGACATCTCGTATTTTGATTGACTATTGATTAAATGGCCGACATCTGGAATGCTTGTTCACTAAATATGAAAAACTCGCCATAAAAATCATATTTCCTGTTGAACTTTCTATATAAAAATGTGTCATCAAAGTACATCATGAGTATATAAAGTGTCGAATGACAAAATAAGAAGAGCAAGTAGCTTTAAATGCCCCCAACACAAGGGGAGAAAAAAGGCGAAATTTCGAACTTTTTCTTGAAATATCTCGATAAATAGTGGTTTGTTCACATTTTCATTATCAAATTCGTGTTTTTCAGACAAAAATACCTAAGTACCAAAAAAAATTTTCGAAAAAAAAAAACATCGCATGATGAATGCAGTTTCAACCTTGAAAATTACTGTTTCAAGTCTAACAATCAATTGGGTAAAAAATTCAACAACAGGAAATTGAAAACACTCACTGGCTAATTTTTTTGGTAATAGGAATTCTCCAAGATAAATATGGGTAATTATAACAAACGGCATGTCTATCAAAATAAAATACATTTTCCACAATTTTCTTTCGATCAATCTCACGATAAGTTTATGTTCTGCGGGCCCTGTATAAGAAGGTGCGAAGTTTACCTTCACCACAATTTTTGCCAATATATTCAATTCGAATGGGTTACTGTAGGTGGGTATTTGTGTTTTATACTGGTTTTTCTGGTTTTTGCTTTGAAACTTCGTTTTTTTATAATAAAATCGAATGGGATGCGAAAAAGGGCTCAGTTGACGACTGGCATCCTTTTTTAACCGGAAGCCCTTCAAAAAAACAGCAAAATCGGCTCAATAATGATCTAAAACTAAAATTGAAATACGCGGTCGCCTTATAGTGCCATAAGCGCTTGTCGTTTCGAGCCGCTGGTTAGGCCTCACTAAGGTAACGTCACCACGGAAGCTGCAGGCCTTATAATCTTGATGGTAACGAACAACCTCTATTTTCCGTAGCTTACATTATTGCGAAGTGCCATCCTTTCTCAATACTCCTATATGTAACGATTCGATAAACAACCTACTCCTACTCCTCAAGCATCAGATTTCAAAGAATATATTGTCTACTTCACAATAATTGTAGTAACTGTTTCCAGCTTGAAAATATATGGATGGAACATATTATTGTCAAAATGTTGACTAGTATTTTTACAAGAATGTCTCTTCTCAAAAACCGATATGAAGAAGTGATTCATTCGCCTTGCAGATGAGAAAGGCGACCTCCTGGCTACCCCCTTCACGACAATGCCATCCAAGCGGAAAGCGCCCGATTTCTACGCCCAACTGGCCAATCCCATCGACCTCGCCACGATCGAGCAGAACATCGCCACAGGCGTGTACAAAACGGCGGAGAGCTTCGACGAGGATTTCCACTGTTTGTTCAGGAACTACGCGCGGTTCTACGGCAGGACGAGCGATATCGGTGTTGCCGCCGCTAAATTGAAGAAGGTGTACGCGGAGACGAAGAAGAGGAGTTTGGAGCGGTTCGAGGACGCTGTGGGCGAGAAACCGCCGGCCGCTTTCGTGTGCAGCAGGAAGAAGAGTGAGTAGCAACTTCGAATTATTGAACAATGAGCTTGTTTGGTGAACATGTTTATTTTATTATTTCGAAGTATCGGTGACGATTAGGACCCAATCCGGGAAAAGATTCAAGTAGTCGGTTTCTCTGTGGTTTTATATGTTATAGGAGGTGCTGAATTCGATTCTGAATCTTGCAAACAAAATTTCCTGGAGCGTTCCGAGATATTAACAAAAAACAGCGAAATTCTTGCACTTTTTGCCCGTAACTCGGAAATTATACGTTATATCGAAAAGACCGCACAATAGAAGGTTGAAGTAGATAAAATTACCTAAATATAATTGCTATTGCTCATGAATGTAGGACTAACGAGTGCGGAGATAGAGTCAGCTGAAAATTGACCAAATTTGCGTACTTTTCAAAAAATAGCGTTTTTCGTCGGTTTTCGCAGATAATCCCAAATCTACGCATTCCTCGAAGAAACGAACTATACTGCCTGATGTGAAAGAGTCCTAGCCATATGAAGTCTTACCTCTGTCAGCAGTTAACTCATAACTCTCGACTTGTCACTGTACTTGAGTATATTCACATCAACTAGGAAGAATATTGTTATTCTTACCTGCCTCTTTTTATTCGTTAACGGAGTATAAAAATCAAGTTTCCTCCTCAATCTTGTATTGTGCAGTACCGCAAGTCCTGCATGAAGAACTGCGGCTACAAGAAAGCCGGTCTGTTTTTCACGAAGATGTGTGCAAATTGTGAAGGATACTGCAGCAATATCGTGCGGTATGATCTAGAGAACGACCAGGATCTTGATGTCGATGAAGAATTATCCATCACAAACTCACCTAGAGGTGTAAAAACTTCACAATTCGATTAGAATTCAGCACCTCCAAAAACATATGAAACCACAGAGAAATCGATCACTTGAATTTTTTCCAAGTGAAAATACCATTTGATTGGACTATAGACAAGTGCAAGAATATATCTGATTGTCAATTCAATCAGAATATGGAATAAATTTTCTGGATTGAATACTTACTGCTTACAATTCAATCAGAATATGGAATAAATTTTCTGGATTGAATACTTACTGCAGATAACAATTTGAAAATAACGAAGTTAGTACCCATTTCTCATATCTGCGATATTCATCTGGTAGAAGTTTTTGGAGGTTCTGAACAAACCCACCGTGGATTTTGTCCAAGTCGAGATGAATATTGTCGATGAAATGAATTTTTCAGGTGAAGAGGACATAATCAGATGTATCTGCAGTATTTCTAGAGACGAGGGCCTAATGATCCAGTGCGAGCGATGTTTCGTGTGGCAACACTGCGAGTTCGTCAAAGCGGACGCGTCGGCCAGCAGCTACCACTACTATCATTATTATTTTTCTATCCATGTTATGCCCTCGATTATCCATGATTTCTTAGTAGTTAAGAACGCCAATTTCTTATTGCACATACACAGTTGAAATTCAATAAGGAAAAATCACTAATGGTCGTGTCATTGTGAATATTCAACTAGGAAGAAGCCAAATACTCAAAGTGGAATGTATAGGTCACAAATAGAGAAACGCAAAGTCATTACCACATTAGTTCATAAAATGATCGAAAATGGTAGACAAAGAAAAACAACTACTTTCCTGGATATATGCCACGCAGAATATTGGATTACTTCCTTCCGAAATCTATGCAATAATTCGTATAGACGAATAAAATCGCAAGTGATTCCTTTCTAAACGCCGAGCTCCGCCTAAGTGGTTCAGGAACTCTTGACTACCTGCAAACCGGTTTCGGGAGGTTGTAATCCAATATTCTGCGTGGCATATAGTCAGGAAAGTAGTTGTTTTTCCTTCGTTGTCGATTATTTTCGTTCATTTTATGAACTATTGTGGTAATGACTTTGAGTTTCTCTATTTGTGATTGTGAATATTGTCGTAGAAATTACCATGAGGTTAGGGTTTTTGCGCCAGCGATCGGAGGCTATTTGTTTCAAGGCAACAAGCTCTGGAAAGTTTTGATGAATATTGTCTTGGAAATGTTCCAGGCGAAGAGGAGGACGAGGGCCTGATGATCCAGTGCTGATCAGTATCAATCTTTTTGTGATAGCAATTATGAAATGTTTTGATAATTTGTAATATGAACGGTTTGATGAACTCAAGCTGTTACACGATATTCATCTGGTATAATTTTTTGGAGGTTCAGAACAAACCCACCGGATTTTGTCCAAGTCGAGATGAATATTGTGGATGAAATGAATTTTTCAGGCGAAGAGGAGGACATCATCAGATGTATCTGCGGCATCCCTCGAGACGAGGGTCTGATGATCCAGTGCGAGCGATGTTTCGTGTGGCAACACTGCGAGTGCGTCAAAGCGGACGCTTCGGCGAGCAGCTACCATTGCGAAAAGTGTGTGCCGCGAGATGTGGACTACGAAATTCCGATGGACGAGTACACCGAACACAATCACAGGTGAGTGGTTTTCTTCATACTTGACGAGTATAGCACTGATGATGGCTTTGTAGCCAAAAGCGCTTTGCGATTTTATGATAAATTTTACAGGAAATACAATATCTCTTCATGTTATTCTTCATTTTGTTTGACGACCCCAGTTCAAAATGATGAATCGAATTGGAACTCCGCACACATATCAAGGACCAATGACATTTTAATAGCATCATTCAATAGTTTTGTTTCATTATCCTGATCAGGATCTTCAGGATGAGCGTTTTTTTTTTAATTCAAATTAAAATTTGTGAACACACTTGTCATATTTTCAAACAGCTGACGAAAACACATGAGACAAATATTTTTCATAGAATAGAATAGAATTTATTGAGTACCAATAACAGTATGTTATTACAGAGAACTATAATAATTGTGTGTGGTACGAGTCAAATTCCCAAAGAACCTAAAGGCTGAGACACAATTGAAGTTTTATGTTATAAGTTTTAAGGTTTAATATTTAAGATTTATGTATCAAAAATAAAAACAGGATTCAAAACAGAATCGAAATATAAAAGCTGAAATTCCACCAATAAGGTTGTATGATTTTACCACCTGAATCAAGAGTTCATCAGAACTATTTACAGTATCATTTTCTTCTTCACTTTGTGTATTTTTGTCAGGACATTCAGTTATTTCAGTATCAGTTTCATTTTCTAATAATATCATGTCCGAATAATCTAAATTCGCATAATCATGAAAATGTGTCATGTTTTTATACTATTTTGACACATCAATCAACGTTTTTCTTCAAAACTTTTTCAAAAATGGATATTTGAATTTGATGTTTTTGTTTTGAGGTTAATATGTGGCATGTAAGATGTGGCATGCATCATGCATCATACAGCTGCACAGAAATTCAGAAATAGTTCCGTGTGAAAAAGGATTGCTGCGATTGGTTGGGTGTCTAAATTTTAAATCATAAAAACCATCACGTCCGTATCTTGAAATATGAATAGTAGATTGTTTTATTAGGATCAAAAGTCACTTTCAAATAAATATGTGAAGTTACCACCAATGCCGTGCCATATGTATGCAATGCAACAAATATCGACAAATAATCCGTGTAGTGAGAACATTCTACCTGCATCAACAGCAGGTTCATTCAATTTTCAAGGATGTTCGAATTGTTTCAATATAAGTACAATCACAGAGTGACATATTTGTGTATGGACCAGGTGCTCTAATAACAAATACCGCGCCAGTGCCAGCTATAGGAACAAGACGTGGAAAATGTTAGGTTAATGAGCGTATCAACAATGATAATGGCGATTATTTACTTCTCTCTATAATACAATGTTTTTTGCTTAATAATCAAATGAAGCTAAACAATATCGTTGTTTGAGACAAAAAACTATTGCTTGCCGTGATTATTCAAAAACAAGATATCCATCCCGAGAATAACGAATGAAATACAGATCAAGCAAGTATTTGAATCTTGAAGGCTTCCCTGATCAAACAAAAATACTTAGCTGAGATGTTTATAATTCCAATACTAAACTATAATGAGGTGTATTTATTTCTTCAGCATGGGTATGAAATTCCAAATCTGCTGAAATCGGAAACAAATCAGGTATGCGTCTCAACCCAAATAACTAACCGTCACGATGTTGTTCATTCTTGATGACGTCCAGTACTTCCTTTTTAGTTCCTAGGAGCTAAAGTTCAACTTTAGCTCCTAGGAACTAAAATTCAACTTTAGATCCTAGGAACTAAATATGTTTCCTAGCAACCTACCTATTTTTGTGTCAGTAATAGAAACGTCAATTTAAGAGCTAATTTTGGTATCAAAATGGACGACTTTTGTGTCGGTAGCAGAAAAACTTATTTCCTAATTCATAAATTTGTATTCTGTCTTTCGCTACAAGGACCTGTGTGTTCATTTTATAAAACTTATATCTTGAATAATAAAACTTAAATCTTATAACATAAAACTTCAATTGTGTCTCAGCCTTAATCCATTAAAAAACAAAATCACAGGTTATGAGAGACAGCACAGAAAAGACCTTTCAGAATATGTATGATGTGGCCAATGTGCAGAGATGGAATATCATTTTCCAGTACCCCTTTGTTGAACGAGTGAAGACATATTTTTATTTGAAACCCTAACATTGGCGTAACACCAAAGGCACATGATGCTGTATGTGTAGTTATATCAATAATATGTCAATTCATTCATTTCCATTTAATGAATATTGGAATTTGAAGCTTCAAATAACACTTGAAATGTCGACTCGTCTTTGGGCAACTCAAATAAATGTTAACCATCATTCTTAGAATTTTTGCAATTCGAACCGAACAAAATATTTTCGCTGGGACGCCTAATTAATTTTTAGAACTGACGTTTCAAATTTGAGAATGATGACAATTCGTACTTGTCAGTCGTGAGAAGCGTGTCCACACTCTAGTTTAATCCACAGAGACGGTAATAGAGGAGTGGTCTATATTTTTTTATTTCTTAAATAGTATTGGCTGAGCCAATTTTACACAACGAGAACTAGACTAACAATTTCAAAACAATGTACTCTCATATAGTTCCACAATCCACCACTCTGACGCTGCGATCTCAAATTCAGTCGCCTATATCGATATCTTCCTTTCCAGGTACTACATGACCCTCATGCGAGGCGACCTCCAGCTCAGACAAGGCGACACGGTGTACGTTTTACGCGACATCCCGATAGAGGGCACCGATCGCAAGCACACCTACGACACCATAGGCGAGATCGACTACGCCGAGCTGGACATATTCCGGATCGAGAGGCTGTGGAAGGAGGAGAAGACGGGAAGGAGGTTGGCGTACGGCCATCACTATTTGAGGCCGCACGAGACCTTCCACGAACCTACGAGAAAGTGAGTAAAAGTTTGTTGGACTTATGACTGCGCCAAAATATTTCAAATGTTCGTTCCTATTTATATTGTCCCCAGGGTAGAATCCTACCAAATGCTTGTTTCATTCCCAGGGTGGAATTACAGCGACTGCACCGCAAAATTTGAGGTTTATCTGCTTGTTTCTGTTAAACTTGTTACTTTTGGTATGTTTGTCGATGATAAACGTTCATTCCTCAAGTTATTTCCGAGTATATGAGCGAAACACATGTTGAATACGTCAGTAATTTGTTTTGACACATAGTGTATACTGTTATTAATTTGTGAAAAGTTGCACTCATTAATAATGGCATTTTTCGTTCACATTCTCCCTAGGTCAGAATCCTACCGACTGCACCAGAAAATTGAAGGTTTATCTGCTTGTTTCTGTTCCACTTGTTACCTTTTGTACGTAGATCGATGATAAATTTGCATTCTTCAAGTTCTTTTTTAGTTTTTAAGCAACACACGTGTCGAAGACGAAATTCTTTTTTGACTATGATATATAGTGTTATGTGGTGGAAGAAGAAGACGAGGAAAAAGTTGACGTACGGCTATCACTATTTGAGGTCGTACGAGACCTTCCACGAACCTACGAGAAAGTGAGTAAGAGTTTGTTGGACTTATGACTGCGCCAACAAATGACTAATGTATCTGTTCGTTCCTATTCATATTGTTCCCCCTGCTTGTTTCGTCTCCAAGGTAGAATTCTAGCCACTGCACCGGAAAACTTGAGGTTTATCTGCTTGTTTCTGTTGAACTTGTTACTTTTGTATGTTGGTCGATGATAAACGTTCATTCCTCAAATTATTTTCAAGTTCATCAGCAAAACACGTGTCGAATACATTGGTAATTTTGACAGATGGTTTATAGTGTTATGTTGTGGAAGGAGGAGGAGACAAGGAAAAAGTTGGCGTACGGCTATCACTATTTGAGGCCGTACGAGACCTTCCACGAACCTACGAGAAAGTGAGTAAGAGTTTGTTGGACTTATGACTGCGCCAAAAAATTTCAAATGTATCTGTTCGTATCGGCTAGTTTGCTCCCCAGGGTAGAATTCTAGCCACTGCACCGGAGAATTTGAGGTTTATCTGCTTGTTTCTGTTAATCATTTCACTTTTTGTATGTTGGTCGATGATAAACGTTCATTCCCCAAATTATTTCCAAGTTCATCAGCAAAACACGTGTCGAATACATTGGTAATTTTGACAGATGGTCTATAGTATTATGTCGTGGAAGGAGGAGAAGACGAGGAAAAAGTTGGCGTACGGCTATCACTATTTGAGGCCGTACGAGACCTTCCACGAACCTACGGGAAAGTGATTGGTAATTGAACATGAATAGTGGAAATTGGTTGAAAGTGTGCTGAAATGGTTCGATTTGTGACTGCTCCAGATAATCTTCAATGTATCTATTAGTTTCTTTTTATAGTGTCCCCAGGGTAGAATCGTACCGACTGCGCCAGAAAATTGGAGGTTTATCTGCTTGTTTCTGTTCCAGTTGGTACTTTTTGTGTGTTGGTCGATGATAAACTTTCATTCATCAAGTTCTTTTCAAGTTTATAAGCAAAAAATGTGTCGAGTGAGTTAGAAATTCGTTTTGACATAAATAGTGTTTTGTTGTGGAAGGAGGAGAAGACGAGGAAGAAGTTAGACGATGAAACCAATATACCGGACGAGTTTTGTAATTATATACCGATTCTATTCAAAATTTGTAAGTGGGCGTTTTCGGGATCAAAAATTATGATTCCTTCGTCAAAAATTAGGGAATTCAAGATGGTAGATCCAATATTGCGGACGAGTTTTGAAATTATGTTTCGATTCTATTCAAAATTTTCATCTGGGGTTTCAGGAGTCGGATATTATGATTCTTTCGTCAAAATTGGGAAATTCAAGTGAACTAAGAAGAAGTTGAAATAAATGGTAGTTTAAAAAACTAAAGAAACACGCTTTTATAGATAGCGAAACTAGAAAGAAGTAGAAAATATAATAATAATAGTATCTTGATGAATATTGAACTGAAAAAATATGTTATAGAAATAATGTTTATAGCAAAACAACGTTTGCGAGGTCTGCTAGTCTAACATAAAAATGTGAAAATAGCTTTTATACAAGCCTAGGACAAACGGGACATTATACACTACCTTTCCCTTCCAGATTCTTCCCTAACGAGGTGATGCGCGTACCCCTCTACGAGGCCGTGCCCGTCGAGCTGGTCATCTCCCCCTGCTGGGTGCTCGACGTCAACACCTTCTGCAAGGGCCGACCGATCGGCGCCGACGAAAGGCACGTGTACATCTGCGAATACCGCGTGGACAAGGCGGCCAAGATGTTCAGCAAGGTGTCGAGGAGCAAGTATCCCGTGTGCACCAAGTCGTTCGCCTTCGAGAAGTTCGAGACGCGGTTGAGGATATCGAGGTGAGTTCATCTAAATGTTGGGATATCTGATTTACTCTCCGAAAGTGTACGCCAACGATCTTTAACACCAAAACACGGATAGGCGAATAAAATCGCGAATGGTGGGGATAATTATACCATATATGTTCAGCAAGGTGTCGAGGAGCAAGTATCCCGTGTGCATCAAGTCGTTCGCCTTCGAGAAATTTGAGACTAGGTTGAGGATATCGAGGTGAGGTCATCTAATTGTTGGAATATCTGATCAAAAGTATGTTCATGCTTGTACGAATTCCTCATTCATGCGAATCGCAAAACATGAAATTCCCAACAGAATTCGACGTTAATTATAATTCTGTACTTACCTGTGTAAGAAAGACATTGGCTAGATGCAAGGTGATTCCGATCGAAACGCCGGTTTTTAAAAATAACATCGTTTTATTTCATTCAGAATTACAAACATAAAAGGATATAACAGGCATTTCCTAGTCAGTCTATAATTGATTCATATCAATCTATTCTGATCTGATTCAAAGCTATGAATGGAAAACAACTTCCACATATAAAACTTGATAGTAGAAATATAATATTTATTCACTAGGGTGATGAAGCCAACACTACGAATCGACATATGTATAATTCACATTCACTACAGTGCCCTAACGAACACTGGACAGAATGATATAACTGACAATCGCTACAGTGCCCTAACGAACACTGGTCAGAATGATATAACTGACATTCGCTACAGTGCCCTAACGAACACTGGACAGAATGATATAACTGACAATCGCTACAGTGTCCTTACGAACACTGGACAGAATTATATAACTGACAATCGCTACAGTGCCCTAACGAACACTAGACAGAATGATATAACTGACAATCGCTACAGTGCCCTAACGAACACTGGACAGAATGATATAACTGACAATCGCTACAGTGCCCTAACGAACACTGGACAGAATGATATAACTGACAATCACTACAGTGTCCTAACGAACACTGGACAGAATTATATAACTGACAATCACTACAGTGTCCTAACGAACACTGGACAGAATGATATAACTCACATTCACTACAGTGCCCTAACGAACACTGGACAGAATGATATAACTCACATTCACTACAGTGCCCTAACGAACACTGGACAGAATGATATAACTCACATTCACTACAGTGCCCTAACGAACACTGGACAGAATGATATAACTGACAATCACTACAGTGCCCTAACGAACACTGGACAGAATGATATTACTGACATTCACTACAGTGCCCTAACGAACACTGGACAGAATGATATAACTGACAATCGCTACAGTGTCCTAACGAACACTGGACAGAATGACATAACTGACATTCACTACAGTACCCTAACGAACACTGGACAGAATGATATTATTGACAATCACTACAGTGCCCTTACGAACACTGGACAGAATGACATAACTGACATTCACTACAGTACCCTAACGAACACTGGACAGAATGATATAACTGACAATCGCTACAGTGCCCTAACGAATACTGGACAGAATGATATAAATGACAATCGCTACAGTGCCCTAACGAACACTGGACAGAATGATATAACTCACATTCACTACAGTGCCCTAACGAACACTGGACAGAATGATATAACTCACATTCACTACAGTGCCCTAACGAACACTGGACAGAATGATATAACTGACAATCACTACAGTGCCCTAACGAACACTGGACAGAATGATATAACTCACATTCACTACAGTGCCCTAACGAACACTGGACAGAATGATATAACTGACAATCACTACAGTGCCCTAACGAACACTGGACAGAATGATATTACTGACATTCACTACAGTGCCCTAACGAACACTGGACAGAATGATATAACTGACAATCGCTACAGTGTCCTAACGAACACTGGACAGAATGACATAACTGACATTCACTACAGTACCCTAACGAACACTGGACAGAATGATATTATTGACAATCACTACAGTGCCCTTACGAACACTGGACAGAATGACATAACTGACATTCACTACAGTACCCTAACGAACACTGGACAGAATGATATAACTGACAATCGCTACAGTGCCCTAACGAATACTGGACAGAATGATATAAATGACAATCGCTACAGTGCCCTAACGAACACTGGACAGAATGCTATAACTGACATTCACTACAGCGCCCTAACGAACACTGGACAGAATGATAGAACAATAATGATAATAATACAAAATAGAATAAACATATGAATATAACATTATAATATTCATAACCTTGCCCAATAACACGCATAGGTATCTTCGTATACCTGTCTTCAACAATTATATGATAATTTCATAAAGGGGAAAGGTAATCACGGTTGAGCACACTGAATTGTAACAATAAATATAAATGAACACAATGATATCAGAAAACTAAGCCACTACCCTAATAATAATTTCGAAGCGGTCAAACGATGACTTAACTAACGTAACTCGTTCACACCCGCTTGCTCACTATGTCGGTATTTTGCCTTGCGCCACCAGCTCAGTTTTCACAGTGACGCATGGTAATATTATGTGTAACAACTGTACGGGGTGTCCCGCGGGTGTTTCTTACACCTGTAGTGTCTAGTCTCGTCTTGTTTCCCTAATTCCCCAATTTTGATGTTATCAAAATAACAAAACATTTTATGCATATCGTTAGATATTTTGAAAATGTATTCTAATTGTTAATTATTTTGTACTTTATCAAATTGATATCCAACTGTAGATTACTCATTGCTTGAAATTCAACTTGTTTTGTCTGATAAGAAACGTGTATTGTCGAATTACGTGAGCACAACCGCTACCGGTCGATTCATCGAAAGGCATTCGAGTTGTCGGATTGGATGAAGTCGCTCGGAATATTTGCCGTTCTGCTTTTGTTCAATATTAACATTATAATTTTGAGAAATAAATTTGGTATATTGTGTTTGTGTGTGTGATAGCTATCCGTTCCCAAGAATCTAACATCAGAAGTGGGATTGATACCTTTGAAGCCCACATCAAGCATTGGTGAGTAGTGTTGGTTTTTCTCCTTGAAAAAAAAAAAGTTTCTGCAAGAGGTCCCAGATTTAGAGGTATTTTGAATTTGTGGTAGACCAAATAATTAGAGTGAATCGAGTTTATCAAATAAGCGTTTATTTTCTATTTCACTTCGAGACTTTGATAAACACTCTGATATTCGATCGTACACATGAATAAAATAACGAAATGCATTTTCATATGGAGAGAAATAATGAGATCTATAGTTATTTCCCTTATGTAATTTATAATAAGCACTCTGCTGAGAAAATCAGGAATAATATTATAATATCAGATTCTAAGCAACTATAATGAATATTAAAATTCAATATACAGAGGAAAAATGAGTTGCTACATTTTTTTGTTTTTGCTTCATTGTAGTGATGGAGGGGTTGATATCAGAACTTGTGAAAGCTATCAAATCTACTAAAACACCTCCTCAGCAGGTTGATCTGCCAATATTCAAGCCTGAGATAACAGATGCGAGAAAATGGACGAGTGTTCTAATATAAAATCAGAGTTCAACTGGATCGATCAAGAAATTTTGGCTTGATCAGGTCGATTTTTAAGTGGAGCTTCCAAAACTTGGTTCGATGTTTGGTCCATTCGAAATTGGGAAAGTTTCAAGAGAGATTTTGTTGAAGCTTTTCCCCCCAAAAGAAATCTAGGTCGATTGCTAAGCGAAGCCGCTGATTTCAATAGCGACTCCTGCAACACTTATGAAAATTATGTTTTTCTGAAGGTTGGCATGCTGAAAAATTTGAGGGCTAACTGGGCGGAAGCAGATTCAGTAGAACTAATTATTCATGGAATAAGAGAACGTGATGTTCAAACTACCGCCAACAATCTCAATTTCAAGCAATGAGTAATCTACAGTTGGATATCAATTTAATAAAGTACAAAATAATTAACAATTAGAATACATTTTCAAAATATCTAACAATATGTAGTTATGATTCCATCCGAATTCGTGAAAAAGTTCAAATATTTCAACTTCATTGCGATTTTCGCAGTCGCCATTTTATTCGCATAAATTTTGCGGAATTCGTACATGCATAAACATACCTTAACCCTCCAAAATAGGTTTGTTTACTCTGTGCCAAAACTATACGCCAACAGGTTTGTTAATCTGTGCCTTTACACCAAAACACGGATAAACGAATGAAATCACGAATGGTGGGCATAACTCTTCGAAATCATTGTCATAGAGGCAAATGGACTAACTTTTTCAATTCCATAATTCTTCAATTTTTTTTTGGTCGATTTTTAGGTCCATCAATAATGCCGCGGTAATTTTCAAACGGCTAGAAATTTACCACAAATAATCGACATCACGGAAGTTGGGGCAGGCAAAAGCACAGTTGCCATTTGTTGAAATACGATCGGGAACTTTGGAAATGTTATTCATTCAATAATCCATAGATTCTCAATAATGTATTCTCAATATTCTTAATTAACTATGAAAAATCCAATGCAATGTCTCCAAATGTTCCTCCTCATGTGTTGTGGTTTATTGCTTGTGATGAATTTGTGTTGTTAATAATTATAATAATTCCAATTAATTCACACGAGGACATTTGGTACGGTAAACGTGGCAATGCAGGATTGTGGCGTTGTCTTGTCAGTTCTTAGCATTCAGCACGTTTGCGTTCGAGAAGTTCGAGAGTCGGTTAAGGATGTCGAGGTAGGTCGTTTCAAGTGTTGGAATCTCGGAGTAACTCTCAAAGAGTACACGCCAAACTCCAAACACAGATAAATGAAAGAAATCGCGAATGGTGGGGATAACTTTGCGAAATCATCGCAAGATTGAAAAGTATACGCCAACAATGAATTCTTAATGCTAAACACGGATGAACGAATGAAATCAATAATAATAATAATAATAATAGGACTTTATTAGGCGAAAGTTTAGCTACAAAGAGCTATTCTTACACTTTAACCTAGGTACATATATTTATAAATAGTATGTATTACAAGGTATTTTCCAAGAAAACAAACTAAATCATATTTCTATTCTTAGATATAACTCTTTTCTACTTTTTGAATTGTGGAAATATTAGATAAATGTAGAAGTAATCTGTGCAGCTAGATAGACTGTGTTCTTTGTTCATCAAGGATTTTATTTTTCAGCTTCATTCTGAATGACTTCATACTCAGTTTTTTAACATTGTCATCTAAAGCATTTTAAATAAGTGGTAGTTGGTAGGAGAAAGATGCTTTAAATTTACTGGTGGAGTAGTGTAAGATGTTCACAGTAGCAAGATTCCTTATATTGAGGTTATGCAATTGATGACGAAATATTATTTTTTCATAAAGGTAATATGGACGTTTCTCGTTGATAATTTTATGGAAAGCAGTAGTGGCATGTAGAAGACGACGTTTTTTCATGCAAAGCCAGCCAAGAGATGAAATATATTCAGTGATATGATCAGATCTTCGCAAGCCCCAAATCAGTCTAGTGCAGTTATTTTGCATTTTTTGAATTCGATAACAGTCAAAGGAGTCGATACATGGACCATATACTATATCGCAATAGTTGAAATTAGATAAAACTAGTTGATCACACAGTTTCTTCTTTAAATCAAAAGACAGAAATTGTCGACTTGAGTACAGCAATTTAAGACACCCGTAAGCACGCTGAATAGATTTGCTGACGTGTTCCGAGAATTTCAAATTAGAGTCAATAATTAAACCTAAGTTTTTGGTTGCTGATACTAGTGTTAAAGTGACACCTCCTATGACTATGTTGATATCATTCTTCACACGATTAATTCGACATTCATTGCCAAATAATAAATAAGTGGATTTTGTGGGATTAATATGGAGATTATGTTGCTTAGAGAGGTTGATAATTCTTTGTAAATCTTTGTTGACGAAGTAGTTAGCTAAATAGGCATCTTCGGGATAAAAACTATAATATAATTGGCTATCATCAGCATAGAAGTGGCTTCTACAATCTGAAAGGCAATTAGATAATTCAGCAGTATATATAAGGAATAAAAGTGGTCCCAGAATCGATCCCTGAGGTACACCATTATATAATCTGAGTGATTGAGATTCGCTATTGTTATTTTTGACTATTTGACTTCTTCCACTCAGGTAACTTCGAAAGAAGTTTTGTGCTGTCAAGTTCAACCCATAATATTTCAGCTTAGAAAGTAGAAGTTGGTGGTTTAAAGTATCGAATGCTTTCGTGAAATCTAACATTACCAAGGCTGTAACTTTACGGTTATCCCATTCTCTGATAATATCATCACATATATTTAGCATTGCCGTGGCAGTGCTGTATCCCTCCCTGAACCCTGACTGCTGAGAAGGAATGATAAAATTTGAATTACAGTAATCGTAGAGTTGCTTGTACACGATTTTCTCTAAGACTTTGGATAGAATTGGGAGGATGCTAATAGGACGAAGATCTGAAAAACTATAATTAGGCTCGCCGTTTTTAGGAATAGGACGAATTAGTGCTATCTTCCAAGATGATGGAAAATAACCTTGCTCTAAGCAGAGGTTAACAATATGTGTGATTGGTAATAAAACTGCTGGCAAACAGTATGATATCATAGTCCGAGATATTCTATCGATACCAACAGCATCACTTTTGATATTATGAAAAATTTCTTCCACATCACTAACAGATGCAAATTTTAATTCGAAGTTCAGTGTATCATTAAATTTGACCGAATCATAGTGATTGATAAGTTCAGTGCAGTCTTCATTCAGATTTGCTGCTATTGATGCGAAATAACTATTGATTCCGTCTACATCATCAGCAATGTGTTGCGGAACTTCGGTGGATGTGTTAGGCGTAACTTTCATATCTTTTAGATCTTTGATATCAGTCTGGGAAAGTTTATGAATAATTATTGATGAATCATGTTTATCGTCAATTTTACTTGATATAAATCGCCACCTTTATAATAATAATAATTATTATTTCCAGGACTTATTGTCCGCACGACGTGGACGAAGCCCTAATGAAGGGAGGAGGCGGCGGCAGGAGAGCGAAGACGTCGGAGGAGGGTAAGGAGGGCAAGGAGGGTGGAAGTAGCGGCAGGCCGAAGGAGGTTGTCGCGACAGTGCCTGCTTTGCCACCTGTCGTTAGGGTGAGTGGTTTTCTTTTTCTAGATGTCGACCCAGAAAATTCGGAATTCCGTCGGTTGATTTTTTTGTGCCTAAAAAAGGAATGGGTAGTTTTTATTTTTGTTTTTCGAGTTTTGTGGTAGCAATTACTGAGTTTCAATTTTTTTTGTCATCTTGCCTTCTTCAAAAAATGGGTACCTGCTTCTGAAGTAGCAATTTTTGGATGATGTTGAACAAGTTTGGAAATTCCATTTTTCTTCTCACAATATTGAGTACTTCAGAGAGTTTACACAGTTTTTTGTTTGAGTTGAATCTACCCAATAATAGAATTTCACATTTTTTTTCAATATTTCAAACATTTTAGAAGAAAATGCGCACGTTCAAGTGTTGAAGAAATTTTGTAATTTAAGTCTAACCCACATTTAGACTTTTACAATACTAAAAGTTCCTTCGCTAACCATATTCTGAATTCTGACCATTCTTTCAATATGGATATTGATTTGGAAGTATTGCATATCTATCAAAAAGGCAGATTGTTGAACTTATTAGAAATTTTTGAAATAAATGCTTCTTCACAAAATAATAATGTCCTTTTCCTTAATGAACAGACTCAATTTGATAGTATAAAATTGTTCAATGCATTAAATTTCCGTAAATAAACAAAATAAAACTTCTCATTCGCCTTGGTCCACAACATAATATATTTCATATTTCATGATTCCATAACTTAAACGTTTTCATAGAGTAAAATCCTTTATTGGCTGTGCATTCTGTATCTGCGGTCGTGGGTTGGTATCCGTGACTGTCATTGTCGGTCTCTTGTCAGTTGTCATACCTGTCAGTGTCTGTTGAGTCATCGGATTTCCGTCCTCCACTACTTACTGATTGCTACCCAAAAGGTCAAAAAGGCATTCAATTTCAATTTTTTCAAAACATTTTTCTTCATTATTCCGGTGGGCATTTAAACATTCCGGTATAGGATTCTGCACCTGCTTAAATTCTATTGGCCGATTTTGATTTATCTGACCAATTGAAGGCGGAGTGCCGAAATTCGTACCAGAATGTTGAGCGGTGCTGAAACACAGGTCGGAATGTTGATGAAATGAAAGCTCGAGATAATGTGTAATGAACGCATTTTTCAATAACTTTAGAAATTTTCATTTATATTCATGATGATTATTTGGTATAAAAGTTTGAAATGAATGATTATATGTAATAAAATGAGATAATAAATTCGAAATAACAATCATTAGAACACTTAATGTCTGTTTATGTCCTATTCCATGGGATGGGACTTAGCGTTTGGTTGGTTTCTCGCCACGTTACCTGCCAAACTGCGTCTTCGTCTTCTTCGAATACATTTCATGAGCAAATAAAAAAATATTTAAAAAACATAAAATTGTTACCTGTACAAGAATCTTTTAATATTTGTAGGGCCTGATTTGAAACGCCATGATGTAAACGACTGAGCTTCATAATCATTCATCCATTGCACAACTTCTGTTTCATTCTTCATATTGCCAAAATTTCTGAAACTTTTATTAATCTTTCCATAATTAGTGATTTATGGTTTACTTCACAAATTGATTATTGCACTTAACTATAATAACTAGATTGCAGGTTTGTTGTTAGCATGTGGGAACGACGGTATAATCAAAAAATACGCAGGTTAGGTAAATGCGAGGGTGTAAACAAAAACCGCGCATAATGCAGGGCAACATTCCGACCTGCTTTTCAGCACCGCTCAACATTCTGGTACGGATTTCGGCACTTCGCCTTTAATTGGTCAGACAAATCAAAATCCGCCAATAGAATTTAAGCAGGTGCCGAATCCTATACCGGAATGTTTAAATGCTTCCGGTGGCCCTAATGCTATGGGACCGGCTCGTGTTTGACCCACAATAAACCATAATGCAGGGTTATATTAAAAAAAAATTCCCTTCAAATTTAAAAAACAAATGATTTTTAATAATGTTCTGATACTTTATTCATTTCAATGTATTGCCGATATTTTTTCACCTCCATGTAAGCGATTGTAAGATGAGATTTTCACTTAACACTCATTTTTGTCTCTTGTAGGACTAATTTCTAATAGGCTGATGATGGACATATGTATGTAGGATTTTTATGTTGTCTAGGGTGAATGATAGTCCAAGGGGGTAAGTGAAAGTGTTTATTCGGACAACCAATGTCACAGGAACACTGACAGTACGTCACAATATTGAGCTTGATCTGCTCACCTTTCAAGGATCTCTTTACGTCCGTCGCGGCTCGACTAAGATGCTCCCCACGTCTTTATTCGTCTGGTACTATTATTTAGCTATGAGATTCTTCAATATCTCAACCAAAACTTCTATAAATAGTATATTCCGAACGTCTCTCGGAATTGCCCCTTTCTTGTTATTATTTCTTAACCTTGGATACCACTATCATTCTCGATAATACGTAATCCTAACTGAATATTGAAACACCGAGTGATATATAAATTCACCATAGGAGAAACAATGAAATTCAATGCAAACAATATAATATAATTATTATGAACAAAATGAAAATATAAATTCCTACACTCGGCCATCCTACTCAGAATCCGACTCGGATTCACTTTGATTTTCCACCCATGGTTTCATGAATTCTACACAAGTGGAAGTACGCATTGGCCCCTCGTGATGACCTACTTTGACAACGTCATATCTATCGTTGGGTTTCGTCTTTGTAATTTCATATGGTCCTAAATATTTTCTGTGGATTTTGATTCCTACTCCAAATTGTGTTCTCTTAATAGCCACCAAGTCTCCTAACTCATAAGACCTCGGTTCTTTCCGCTTTTTATTGTATGTTCTTCGATTCTCTTCCTGTACTTTCAAAATCTGTTTCTTAGTTTCTGCTCTGAGATCGTCTCTATATTTATTGAATTCCTGCATCGTAGCTTCTTCTAGTAATTCCTTTATAAGTACGTCTTCTTTATTCCTCATTCTCACACCTTCAAAAGGTGTAGTTCCAATGCTTCTCTGGAAAGTGGCATTCAAGGTTCTTTGCACTCGCTCAACTACTTTATACCATTTTCCAGGGTCTTCTAAACTGAGTTTCGTGAGAACAGGAATGATGACACGATTGACTCTTTCAACCTGACCATTCCCTCTTGGAACTCCTGTGGTTATCGTCAAGTGTTTTATCCCTTCCTGCACACAATAGTCCTCAAATTCTTCAGATGTGAAAGCAGTTCCTCTATCCGTGACAACTTTCGCTGGGTTGCCAAATACCTGCTGCTGTTTCTTAAAGCAGTTGATTACTTCATTTGCTGTCGTCGATTTGCAAGCGTATAGCCAGGTAAACTTAGAAAAATCGTCAACAATTACTAGTATGTAACGATAATTCTTATTGGTTGAAGGCATCGGTCCTAAATGATCAGCATGATATGTATGCAGTGGTCCTTCTTGTTTAGGTATCGGGTGCAACATCCCTTCTTTTTTTCCTTCCTTTCTGTTACCTAATATACAATGGATACAATTTTCTAAACACTTCTGAATTTTTTCTTTCAGTTTAGGAACGTAAAATTCCCTCTTAACTATTTCTTCTGTCTTGGAAATTGCAAAATGTCCAATTTCGTGTGCTCTTTTGATTATGTCAGTCTGCATCGCTTTGGGAGCTACTATCAATTCTCTTCCATTCTCAAACTTGTAGAGTATATCATTCTTCATGAAAAAGTCTTCATAATTCTCCGTACATAATATCTTCTTTATCATTATTATGTGCTCATCAGTTCCCTGTGCCCGTTTGAGTCGTTCTTTTACACCGTCTCCTTCGATCAAAGTCTTCGTCATCGTCATAACTGAAAAACGACTCAATGCATCTACGTGAGACATTCTGTTTCCTTTTCGATGTTCGATTTCATATGAATACTCCTCCAATAATAAAGCCCATCTAGCAACTCTAGTTGTTAAATCTTTCTTTGTCATCGTCTTCTGAAAAGCTGAACAATCAGTTACAATTTTGAATTTTATTCCAAGTAAATATATACGAAACTTTTTGACAGCTTGAATGATAGCCAAAACTTCCAATTCATAACTATTGTATTTTTCTTCAGCTGGAGTCGTTTTTTTACTCATATAGTATACTGGGTGGAACCTACTATCTTCACGTGACTTCTGCATCAGACAAGCTCCGTAGCCGTATTTACTCGCGTCGGTGTGTAACTCCGTTTCTCCACTTTGCTCGTAAATATGCAATACTGGTTTACTGGATAACAAATCCTTGAGTTTATCAAACGCTTCTTTCTGTTTCTCTCCGAAATTAAACTCTTGTTCCTTTCTCAAAAGGTCACTCAAAGGTTTCGCTATAATCGAATAAGATGAAATGAACTTGCGAAAATATCCTGTCAAACCTAAAAACGACTGAATTTGCTTGAGATTCGTCGGTTGTGGATAATTTTTGATCGCCAAAGTCTTTCCATTCGAGGGTTGAACTTTTCCACCTTCAATAATAAATCCCAAAAACTCAATTTTTTTCTTCAGCAGTTGACATTTTTTCTTTTTAATATCTAATCCGTAGTCTTTTGCAACCTTCATAACTTTCCTTAATCTTTCTAATCCTTCTCCTTCTGTGGAGCTCATAATTATTATATCATCCATATAATAAAGCATGATATTTTCTTCCATCATCAAATTCCTGAAAACAGTACTGACAAATCTCTGAAATACCGCTGGACTATTGCATAGACCAAAAGGACATTTCAGGAATTCGAATTGACCGTAATGTGTGACGAATGCAGTATATTTAATACTATCTTCCTCTATTCCCACATGAAAGAATCCATTCCTCAGATCAATGGTGGAGAAGTATGTAGCACCCTGTAATCTATCCACAACATCTTCGATTAGCGGTAGAGGAAACCTATCTTTCACAATATGTTTGTTGAGCTTTCTATAGTCACAACATATTCTTGTACTGCCATCTTTCTTTTTGACAAGAACTATTGGACTAGCGAAATCAGATGAACTACGTCTTATTATTCCTTCTTTCAGCCACTCTCCTATCTGTTTCTCAACTTCCTCTTTTTCTGGTATAGCTAATCTTCTTGGACATTGATATACTGGTTCTTCATTCTTCAATATAATCTTCATTTTTACATCTGTGTCTATTTTCTTCTCCGGATGATACTCCCCTACCAACTTCTTAGCTTCTTTTCGAATTTCTTCATTTTCTATATGACTCACATCTACTATATCGGCATCTTTTCTATCTTCTTCATCCACAGTTATATTCAACAAAAAATTATCTTTTTCTTTTTTGAAAAGAACAACTTCTCCTTCTCTGAAGACAACATTCGCTTGAAGTAAAACATCATTCCCTATGATTGCCTTGAAAGTTGTTGCTTGAATAGGTATAACATGGATACGAAGAGTTAATTCTTCTCCATTTATAATGACGTCACTTTCGAAAAACCCAATTGTTGCCACTCTATTCGATCCAATACCTCTTAGAATGAGGTATTCTTTATTCAGAACAATTCCATTGAAATATGCCTCATACACGTCCTGTCGTATCGCACTTATATCACTCCCTGTATCTAAAAGTGCTATCAATTGAATATTACATAAAATCAATTTCACACTGTTACTAGGTACCACTTCCACTATAGTCATATTAGAACTTCCACTTCCCTTGTTTTTTTCTGGACACTTTGTTGATAAATGACCAAAACCAGAGCATACAAAACACTTCGTTCCTTTGGCTTTGTCAGGACATTCATTTGACAAATGACCTCTGACTCCACAGTTGAAGCAATGTCCCGTGTTTTTTCTTTTGTACTTCTTTTCCTCTTTATCTTTAGTTTCTCTTCTCCAATCATTCTTCGGTTTACCTTCTTGATACCTTTCTGACCCATGCGATGATTTCACGGTTTTAATTTGTTCATATAACTTCACTTTTTCTTTGAATTCGGAAAAACTTTTAGCTCCATACAAAACAATTTTATTTGACATGTCATCTTGAATACCATCAATGATGTATTGAATCAAAACTTCTGACTCTATATTTGCTCTGCTGCCAATTTCTCGGATAGTCAGCACATACTCCTGCACTGGTTCATCTCTCCGCTTTTTTCTAGTCATTAGTAATTTATGTATTTGAGCACTACTCACTTTCACTTCGAACTCGTCTATCAATTTCTTTTTCAAAATTGACCACTTCGTGATACCTTTTTCCGACTGAATGAAAAGCTTTGCAAGTCCCGTCAATGACTTTTTAGCAAATATCAACTTCTGTAGTTCATTCCATCCTATTAACTCAGATATTTCTTCAAAATCTTCTATCCATTTTCTAACTGGATAATTATCCTTCCCATCAAATGACCTAATACTGTCTTCAACATCTCTAAATGTCAATGAGAATGAACCCGTCATTTTTGTATTTCGAATAGCTTCACTATTCTGATTACATCCAATTCTATTCTCACCTTCAACGTCTTCTTCTTCTTCTTCTGACTCATCTTTTTCCACTTCATCTTCTCCCAACTTCTCTTCACTATGTATTCGTATGTCATTCATAAAGGAACAAATGCGTTCTCACTTCATCACTACTACCCGAATAATCAAGATCTAGTATATTACACACGGCAATGAGATCAGGCAACTGCACATTTTGTTTCACCTCGTTTACTTTTTGCGCATATTCCGCAGACTTTTGGTCTAAACCGAAACCAGCAAAAACGCGTAACGCTCTTCGCGCTTTTCTACTGTCTCCCTCATTACCATACGCAACTACATGTAGAGCCTTAACAGCTTGAAAAGAACTACTAGTAATATTTTGCGAAATCTTCGCAATTTCACCTAGTTCAGGCATTGCAATGAAAAAATAATATCTAATAATCAAGTCAACAATCAATTAGTAGAATAATCAGATTCTAATAGCAAACTGCGAAAATTATCTTTTCCGTTGAAATTTCAAATGAATTATCTGAGGCAAGTCGAGCCGCAACTTCAGAATAAACTCAAATACTGTAACGTTCACAGATATGGAATTGAAATTGAACAATTAAACAATATTAAAGATTAAATGTTGGCCTTCTTCGAACTGCTTCACGATAATATCTTCTATCAATATCCGCTGTATTATCAAACTCGTTTATGGTTCTTCTCGTTCTCGATACAATTTATTGAAGGAAATGTGCATCATACCTTGTAGAATCCATGAGTGTGTATGAGTGAAGTGAATACGTCTTTTTTGCCTCTCAGTTCTTGCAACGCTTCTTTTCCTATGGAACACTCTTGCTCGTAGGCTGCAGCAACTGAATGTCGTCTCACAGTCGTCTTCAGCAAACACGTCTCTGAGTTCACTTTCGTTGAATATCTTCTTTGTGCCTCCCAGAGTTTTCAGTTTGACAAACGCCCAAAAATCATACGTCAACTCGTTCACAACTGTCTATATTCCATCTTCCATCCTCAATATCGCATATCCTATATCCTTTATCCTTTATCCTTTATCCCGGACAGGCCCCCAAAATGTAGGATTTTTATGTTGTCTAGGGTGAATGATAGTCCAAGGGGGTAAGTGAAAGTGTTTATTCGGACAACCAATGTCACAGGAACACTGACAGTACGTCACAATATTGAGCTTGATCTGCTCACCTTTCAAGGATCTCTTTACGTCCGTCGCGGCTCGACTAAGATGCTCCCCACGTCTTTATTCGTCTGGTACTATTATTTAGCTATGAGATTCTTCAATATCTCAACCAAAACTTCTATAAATAGTATATTCCGAACGTCTCTCGGAATTGCCCCTTTCTTGTTATTATTTCTTAACCTTGGATACCACTATCATTCTCGATAATACGTAATCCTAACTGAATATTGAAACACCGAGTGATATATAAATTCACCATAGGAGAAACAATGAAATTCAATGCAAACAATATAATATAATTATTATGAACAAAATGAAAATATAAATTCCTACATGTATGTCCGAAAACATGTTCCCCCTGATGTGACTTATTCACATAGTAAACTGTCTTAGAGATGATTTCGAGTTTCTCTACAAGAACAGCACACAGAATGTGCCGTTCTGGTAGAGGTTATCTCGTTTGGCGTCAAGAGCTCATACCTTTTTTCAACGGGCATAACGGATCTTGGACCGAAGGACATTTCTTGTTCAGCATGATTTGATCTATCCAATTCTAGATTTTCACAGAATTTCACCAGAGACAAGATTTCAATGTAAATGGTGCGGTGTCCTTTATATATTGATTGAAGATCTAATATTTCATTTGGTTTATGAAGGTTTTTTGTTGGTTCCAAATAATCCAATTTATAGTATATACATTTGACAACTTTATGCTGAAGGATTCTAAGTGGCTTCATAATTGATAAACTAGCAGTACCCCAAACAGATATTAAATATTGAATTTTAGAATAAATTATTATTATTAAATATTGAATTTTAGAATAAATTATTATTATTATTATCAGTCCACTCGCCCATTGCCATTCAAAAGTTTAAAACGATCACCCCCGTCACCTCATACTGAATTCGATCATTTTTCTTTCAGACTCCTAGTGAACAGAGGGCTAGATTGAATAGGATATCATTGAATCTCTTGGGCAAGATGCCGACCAAGCAAGTTTTAGACGTTTCCTACCTTCTGGAGGGCGGTCGCCGAAGGAAGAAACCAATCGAAAAGTGTTAATGAATGATAATTTTAACGATATATTTCAGTCAATGAACGCCCAAAATGGAGGTGAAGAGGACATGAAAGAGGATTTTTTTTTTCAGAGACTAGGGATATTTTCGGAGTGAATAAGGAGTGAAATCTCCAAAAATCCACGAACCTACGAGGGGAGCCATGTGTAGGGGGCGACATGAAAGGTACCTTTTTTGAATTATCGTTCTTATCTTGAAAACGGTATGTGACAGCTAGAAAGTCAATCCTTTCAAAATTGTAGCGGATAAAATTATCTACAAAATTTTATCAGTAGGTTTTTTCCGTATCTTTCTTTGTTCTCGAGATATCCGCTAGCGAATCATGTAAATTAAATTTTTCAAAACTGAAAACTTCTCAGGAAAAATATGAATAGTTTGTGAATTTTACGTGCTCATTCGGAATCCGAAGTGATTGTCAACCTATATTTTCAGTATATTTGCCGCTCCTACAAATTTCAGAAGCCTAACTCAACAATTACGAAAGATACAGAGGTGCCTCCATTAGAAGTGAGACACACTATACAGAGTAAGTCAAAAATGTGTACCGAGTTTTCTGGAGGTGATTGTACATTGAAAAATAAGTATAGTTTGGTGAATAAACTGATACCCCAGAACTATGGCGAGATGAGGTTTCTACGTCATAAGAGGGTCCGTTTTCAGAAGGTACTAATGTCCAAAAATAAAACATTCCAGTTAATTTTTCGATCGAATTATGTCGTCAATCATTATTTATGTATAAAAGGATCATTATAAACATGGTTTGAGTTAAAAGTTCTACTAAGGTGTACACGCCCATTCAATTTATGTATGAAAAATCCTACAAGTCGCGTGATTTTGTCATTATGACAGCGAAAAAAATTTGCCCTAACTGTTTCAGCGACAATAACGGAACCTAACTTTTGAAAGCACGATAACCAGCTATAAACAAAAAATGTTTGATGAATTAAATTGTCTTACCGAATTACACTCTAGCTTTTTTTTAGTCGAAGTAAACATGGCATTTATAATTCGAATTTTGTTGCCTACGGTCCTACGGACTCGTAATCTTTTCAGATGCCGTTTTTTTTTGTCAAATTGCCAGGCAACAAAATTTTTATTCATTCTCGTGTAATTATAAGTGACAATTTAATCATATATAATACCACAAGTGATAATATTTTGCCGGAAATATTCGGTGATTGTTACGACAGCTTGTTGCCTAGTAATTTCGTGAATGACATTGTTATCAAAACTACGAGCCGTAGGCGAGTAGTTTTGGATCAATGTCATGAGCGAAATTAGAGCAGCAAGCTGGAGTATGTCAATCGACGAATATTTCCAGGAAAAATAGTATCACGAGTTGTATTTGTATGACTATTTCATGATTGAATAAGACAATATATGTATATAAGAAATGGGAAGCATAATTTAAATATATTCCGACTCGAACTGCGAAGAAGAACATAATGATAGTAATGAAATACAGAATTTACTTTTTTCGAAATTAATTACCTACTCATATTTATTCACAAAGTGGAATGTACAATTTTGATAAACAGTTTTTTTTTTTATCATCTTGGAGATGGTTGCTCTCAAAAGAGTGTATACAATTGCTATCCAATTCATACAAAATAAATTGAATTTATGTGACATGAAATAATTAAAAAAAAGATATCGTCGCCGAGGGGCTCGAACCACCGACCTTCGTATCCCTGCGCAACAACCCTATTAGTTGAGCTACATCATCTAGTAATTATAGTTACAATAATTTGAGTCATTGAAGAAGATTACTTTAAAAAGGAATTTGAATTCTAGTATTGTTGTGTCAGACCGTCAACAAATATGCAAACTTTTTGAATTACACATGAAACGTCCAGCCAGAATAAAATTGTCTCGCCTTTCGTACAAAATATCTCACTAACGCGAATTATAAGTAAATAAAATAAAGTAGGACTTAGGTTATTGTCTCAGATTTGAATCCAAAGCAATCTTGACCAGACACGATGTCAAAATTTTATCGCTGATAAACGAGGTTAGTTGGTCACGTGTGGGTCAATTCGTCTTCTGTATTGGTAGAGCAAGTCCGATAAAATTTAATAAACAAAAAATACCGCTAGAATACAGAAGAAACCGTGGAAATGGTCGATTCTGATTGGTTCTCGGGATCAAGAGTGGAATAGTCAGTTATAATGGTGTCGCGTCAATTGGACGTGGAAAATTGGACGCACGACTATTGGTCGCAGTCAATTGGACGCGGCGACAATTGGACGCGGCGACAATTGGACGCGGCGACAATTGGACGCGGCGACAATTGGACGCGGCGACAATTAGACGCGGCGACAATTCGACGCGGCGACAATTGGACGCATGCGTAAATAAAAATAATTTTATAATTCCAATGAAATTCATTGTGAAGGTTAGGTGTTAGGTTAGGTTAGGTATTTGTTATATTATAGATATGAGCCCTGCATATTCCATGCAATAAATTTCATTGGAATTATAACATTATTTTTATTTTCGCATGCGCTCAATTGTCGCCGCGCCTAATTTTCGTCGCGTCCAATTGTCGCCGCGTCCAATTGTCGCCGCGTCCAATTATCCGCGTCCAATTTTCGTGCGTCCAATTGACCACGTCCAATTGTCGGTAATCCCAGTTATAATTTTGAATAGATTGAATTTTTCGCCGTGACATACCGATTTCAAGATTTGAATGCTAGTTCAAAAAAGGGGACTTTTTTGTCGCCCCCCTGCACTTAGCTGCTCATGGGTTCAGGGATTTCTGGTATTCATACTTCCTAAAAGATGTCCTCTTTCATGTCCTTTACATTGACTGAACAAATAAATGTGTCTCATCGGTTAATCAATTGGGTGATATTTTCAGATATTCTCTATTACGTTTCAGACAAAGCTGATCTACAATGCTGTTGACGATTTCTTCTGTTCTTTACGGTAAATAGTAGTTACTCGAATATGTTACAGGGTGGGTGTCTTTTGTGTCCCATCTCGACATCCCTGCTTTCCGGCTCGCTCTCGTAATATGTTTATCGGTGCACCCTGTATATTGTTGTTTTTTCTCACTCGATAATTTTAATAGCTAGTCATAGTACTGTTGATAATATTTTCATCGATTCATTATTTATTTGTACAAAAATGAAATGTTGCTTATATTTTCATGTTAGAATTAACTTTTAAGCTCGGTGAAAAATTTTTTATTGAATTTGTGAATGGGTACAAATATTTTTAATGATTATTGATATATTATTTTTTACAAATTATTGCTTGGCGATCTGGTATTATACAGTGTGTGCGAGTCGAGGTGGTTCCACCATCAAATTATGGAACAATTTGACAGAAAATTTAATATTTTTGCTTTTCATGACCTACTATGATCACATAAGGGAGTGAAATAAACAGTAAGTATCAACTTTTAATAATTTTTTTTCTGTGACGGGAAAAAAGTTTGGCATTTCATCTCTGTTGGCAGGTTATAAAATGTCACTTTTCATAAATTACTTTTTTCCCGTGGGAAAAAAGTGAGTACTTCTTTCCCGGATATATATCACATATATATACTCTGTTGATGGCTTTTGTTGTGCTATAGTTCCGAAAAATGAGTCAATAATACCGTCTCCGAGAAAGAACTGCATGTCCTTTTATCTTCCATTCGACTTCGCGGTTTCGTATATTACTAAACAACTACTGAATCCGCAATTTTTCAAAATCAAATCACAGAATTGAACTGACAGAAGTGACATCAGATATTTGATTACTTCAAAAGAATGATAAAGATGCCTATAAAACGCAGGTGTCCCTACTGTTAAAAACTTGAAATTTCACGTCGATAATTTTCAGATTTCGAAATAATGTAATATCTTCTCAATATTGATTCGTCCTTCCTTCTGTCACAGAAAAAAATAGTGTATTATACACGGGAAAAATATCAGATTTTAGCTCACGGTTTTTTGTCTCCCTCCGCTACGCGTCGGGAGACAACACAACCTGGAGCTAAAATCTACAACTTTTTTCCCTTGTATAATAAATAACTATTTTTAGTGAGCAAATGTTTGGCAGTCGATTGGGATACGTTAAAAATACACATTTTCAAGTCTCCATGCATATTGTACAGGGCCAAAGAAAAATTTCAAAATTCGATGTTCACCATTTGATTTTGAGTGTTTTTCGACTAAAGTAATTTTTTTTTGTGTTCTACGAGATTCATTCAATCATAAACGAAAGTTTAATTTCTCTCACATTTCATTACCAACTATGATAACAAACATGAAAGAGAAGAAAATATCAGTTAATGAATTTTTTTTTATCGCTTTGGAAACATGTTCGGGCATGTTTCCATATTGTACAGGGCTAGTTTTATTAATGTAAACTCCCTCTTGCTCTTTCTTGTTTTCCACCCATCCAAAAAAATTTAAAACTGATTTTATACCACTATTTTTCATACAGGTTCCAGTCATAGTGACAGTGTTGCAGTATCTCTACAAATATACAGGGTATACAGAAATAATTATATTTTCTAAATGGAATGCGCTGTATAATTGGATAGATATGAATCCCTTATATAATATATTTGTAATAAGGATGAGTTGAGGAATTCAAACCTATCAAAATTTACGGCGCATTCCATTTGAAAAAAAAAAAAATCGTTCTGTATACCCTGTATATTTGAAGAGATATTGCATCATTGTCATAATGAGTGAAATCTGCATTTGAAATTGTATAAAATCAGCTTCAAATTTTTTTGAATGAATGGAAAACAAAAAAGATGAAGGGGGGTTCACATTAATGAAACTAGCCTTGTACAGTCAGACAAAATTTTAAAAAATCATCAGTTCATGTTGAATATTTGTCGACTTATTCAACGATGGGAGAAGATTACATTTTTTCACGAAAATTAGTACAAATTTTCGATATTGTACAGGACGTTTGTTAGATATTGAAGATATTTTGAAATTTTGTATGTTCACTACCCAACTATTTGGGCGTTTTTTTTTATTAAAAAAACTGAAAGTTTTGCATAAGATTTGGACAACTTTAAAAATATACCTGTACAAATTTTCTAGGCTCCATATTGTACAATTTCCGTTGTACATGGACCGACGAAATTCAGAAAAACACCAATTATTTTGAATATTTTGAATATTTTTTTCGAATATATAAATCGACGAGCTCTATCCATATATCCTATAGTGAAGGGATTAAGAAAAATAGATTGATTGAAAATTGGAAATTGAGTATGAAGAAATTTTGTGTCTATCAATTTGGGGTATTTGTTAAAATTGTCATTTTGTTTGAAAAATAGTTCTATTAATTACATTTGGCATTTTAAACGAGCACACATTATCGACTCAACAATTAATAATATTCAATTTCCAATTCTACAATTTTTCAAAATAATCATAAAGAACATAAATTAAAGAAGAAATATCATTTTTTCTCGAATACATCTCGTCGAGTATTATATTAAAAAAAAATCAAAAATCTGCTGTATAATTTTTTAATAATTGTTTGGTGAAAATTACAATTTCTAAAATGTCATTCTTTTTTAAAAAACGTCCTGTATGTACTATGTGGAAAAAATTGTTTGCCACCTAAAAAAATGTAAAAAAAAAATCTATGCTAATGGCCAATACGAAATCTTTTTTATCTGGGCATAGTAGGTTATTATCAATCTATTTATTGAAAACGAAATTAAATACAAATTGCTCAAGATGTTTTGAAATACGAGGGTGGTTCCACCTCAAATCGCACACCCTGTATGTAATTTCATGATTTATTTTTCGTACGTGATGGTATTATTTTTTATCTAATTTTTTCCCTGTCTTATTTATCTTCTAATTTATTATGGTGAATCTATTTTAGAACGTAGTTATTCTTGCCTGACTAAAGTAAGAACTTAACACTATATGTTAATATCACAGTAGGATATACTTTTTATGAATAATAAAATTGTTATATTTTCCAAGGAATGCTCTTTTTTTCATGGGATAATAAAACGGGTCGTATTTTTTAATTGCTACAACTATTATGACATCTCGAAAAAGGTGAACGTTCCTGTTGTTTTTCTCTGCCCATTTTGTGTCAGTTCAAATAGTCAATCTATAAATTTATCTTTCAATGAATCGATAATGGTGTGCGGAGAATAACAAAAAATAAAATTCCAAATCGAAAAATCGTTATTAACCAGATTGTATATATTCTTAGGAAGTGAAAATAAATATCAATGGATGTTATGTTTTGTTGAGACTGGGAATTGAAAAGATCGGAAAGTATTTCTCATTGAAGCAAAACGGCTCTCTCTGAATTCTGAATCGTGAAAAAATATGAAATTGCCAATTTCAACAACTACTTTCACAGGTAATTTCTGAAGATTATCCAGAAAGATATTATAGAGTCAGCTAATCGTCATTTCCTTTTCAGTTCTACTAAAAGAATGGCAGCTTTGTTGCCAAAATACGTTTGTGGACTTTCCTAAATATTGGCTATTTTAGGCATAATTTTGTATTCAATTATTCAACCACAATCTCCAAAAAACTTCATTTTATAATGTGGATATGGTAAACAAGTACGTTATTGTAAAAGGAAACAGTGGTATGAGTTTTCTAGTATTTAGCACACTAAATTTCAAAAATAATTGATGAAAATTACGAGAAATGATGTGAACTAGGTACCCTTCCAAAATAAGAACCACTTTTGTGGCAACACTGCTATGAGGAATGCCGAAGTTGGCAAATCGCACAGCATTGTCACACAACCATTCATACAAGAAACTAAGAAACGTGGCGTTGTAGTTTTCCGAGAAAGAAATCTATGATGCAACAAAATTAAATAGTTTTATCTAAACTAATATTATAAAGAAGAAAGATTTGTTCCTCTGTTCGTTTGTATTGAATAGGCTCCGAAATTACTGGACGGATTTGAAAATTTCTTTACCATTAGAAGCCGACATTATCCCTGATGGCTACTTATTACCGCGAAAACATAACCGCAAGAAAATGCTTCATTCCTATAGGAAAACGAGTACTAAGAGTAGGCTAGTGGTCAATTTTTTTTATTTCTCAAATAGAATCATCACATACCTTTGAATTCATTTTTTTAAAACTCTTTGGTCGATTGTTAGGTGGAAACTGAAGCCACGATTTTGTAAGTAGCACAGTTGCCATGTGTTGAAATACGATTGGGAACTTCAGAAATAATAGATATTGGATAATTCATAAATTCGCAATTGAAGGGGCAAGTGAGAGGAGTTATGTTACAAATATGAATTAGTGAGAAAAAAAGGATTTAGTAAAGCTAACGGAAGCTATAGTTTAATAATTGGATTTATGCAATTGTGAGGAATAGTTTTAGGTTGATTTTTTTATGATTTACAGCATTTTGCTATCATAATTTTTTTATAGACATCTTGATTTATGCGCACATAACCCCTTCTTTCATTTCCTGACATGAAGGCAATGGGCACATAGCTCCTTCTTCCATTGCATCCTTGATGTATAATGTAACATAGCCCCTTCTACCACTGTGTATCTGCTCAGATATGAAGAATAGACACAAATCCTGACGGAACAAGTTACATATACACGTAACACCTTCTTCCATGACATAACCGAATATTTTCAGAAAATGTTACTTGACCCTTTCTTCCACTTGCTCCTTCAATTGAGTATTGGTAATACTCCTAATTAGCAATAAAAATTCATTTGTCTCAAAATGATCCCTTTATGATTTGTAACTTGATTATAATTGGTGACTTGACAACCTTGCTTCATGAGTGGAAATGGAAGATTATCTAACCAATTACGAAACAGCATATAAAAACTGTCGTCACCATTTATATGAACGAAATAATCCCTTAGGACTATTCTGCGATCTGTCCAAAGCATTCGACTGCGTCGACCATGGAATACTCTTAAATAAATTGGAATACTATGGCATCAGGGGTATGGCTCTGAATTGGTTCAGAACTTATCTTTTGAAACGACAATTTCTAGTTAAATTGGAACATAAATCTGGAGACACTTTACAAACTCACTACTCTGAAAGCGCGCCAGTTCTGACGGGGGTGCCTCAAGGTTCCATTCTGGGACCTACTTTATTTATTATCTATATCAATGATATTGTTTGTAACTTCCCATCGGTGACATTTTCACTATTTGCGGATGATACTAGTATTGTTATACACGAAAAAAATAGCCAACTATTACAAAATACAGCTCAGGAAATTATGAATGACATTTTCGATTGGTTCCTAGCAAATAAGCTCTCCCTCAACATCAATAAAACACACTGCATACTCTTCAGTCTATATGCTAACACCTCAAACATCGAGATAACTCTGAATGAAACACCACTTAATTCACAAGATTCGACCAAATTTTTGGGAATATCAATTGACAAAAAATTAACGTGGGCTGAACACATAAATCAATTGAATCATAGATTATCCAGAGCTACATTCGCCTTAAGAACTATCAAAATGAGTACCAATCTGAAAGTAGCTAAATCAGTGTACTATGCTCACTTTCATAGTATCTTACAGTATGGAATCGAATTTTGGGGCACTGCTGTTCAGTCAAGCACCACCTTCATTATTCAAAAGAGAGCCATCCGTTCACTTTTTGGTCTGAGCTCTAGAGATTCATGTCGCGATTACTTCAAAAATCACAAAATATTTACACTCACCTCCCTTTATATTTATAAAGTATCTCTGTTGATACATAAAAACAATTCCAAATTGACCCGCTCTTCGGACAAACATTCTTACGCGACACGCAATCAATCACTTAAGGTAAACGTCCCAATTATCGACACCTTAAGGAGTTTTCGCTAAATCATATAGCAATAAAAATTTAGATAATATAGTTACAGTTTCAAAAATTTGACTATAGATTGTTATGATATTGATTATTGCTGTAGAATGTTTGAATTTCAGATACTAATACGTGATTTATTTTAAAAAAATAAAATAGTTGAAAAAGTTCATTTGACCCAATTATCGACATGGGAAAATTTGTATGGTACCAAATATCGACACATGTGAGTACGTTATACTGACACTTGAGAAAGTTGTTTCAAAGTTAGTATTTACTTGAGTAAATAACTTGCAATTTACTTGAATAATTATTAATAAGTTACGAAATTATAATCTCAGTGGCGTAGCTTTAACATATTTATTAAAAAAACATAATAACCCAATGAACAGAAATTTAAAATGGTTGTTAATTAGCTAAAAACTACTCGAATAATCACTGAATCCCATATTTCTGGTATCTGGTAGAGCCCCCGTTTATTATTAATCTTTGGTTCCGGAATTTTTTCGAGAATCTCGTCTACATCATACCAAAGAATATCATCCCTTCGGGGCCATTTCCAATTGAGCCCATTCTTTTCCATGTGTGAAACTTCGTATTCGAACTCTTCCTTCTCTTTGCAAGCATGTATACCGATAATGTATTTCTCCTGCATTCATAGATTCTGATGTTCTTTTCAATTCTTCACTATTGATGTATTGGCTGGAGGATGGCATATTTTCTATGTTATCATTTTTTTCTTTGACTCCGTCTGTAACTATTTTATTTTTACCTTTATTCGAGGAATTTTTAACTTTTTCATTTTGCAATTCTTCCTTTTCAGCCTTTCTCTCTTTCCTCTTTCTTTGGTTTTTTCCTTTATCTCTAGGTCCAGGTTTTTCTTCAATTCTTTTCGTCTGAAATATTCCTGCCAATTTTTGGAAGATGCCACCGCCGGAACTTTCTCTACAATTCTCTGAAAATTTTACTAGCCTGAGCAGTAGGCATTCCATTTTTAACAGCACTGACAGCTAGTTCCATGTCTTCAGCTGAATATTGAAATCTTTTCGCGTTGTTCATCTTGAATTTCTATAGAAAAGAAAAAGTACCAGTTATCGACATTACTTGGTACCAAACATCGACACACATAATAAAGCAACTCTCATTTTTCAATACATCGAAAAAATGGGTGTCGATAACTGGTACAGCATTAATTCAATATAATTTACTTCGAATTCTGCAGACCAAATAATACTGATATTTATCTACATTTTAATATGAAGTGAGAAAGAGAAAGCTACATTGTACCATTTATCGACACCTATGTCGATATATGGTACAAAGTCTAAAACTGAATGTACCAGTTATCGACAGTAGAAAATAATGAATTTAAACTGCTATGCCAAATTATTGTCAAAAAATACAAATTTCAGACTCTATATATATATTAACTACCATCTCCACTAAGTAACTGAAACATTTCAAACTGAAACTGGTATAATAAACTCACTTGTTTCCTAGCACTTTTCACAACGATCTGCACCAGTTCACATGTGGCGCCAGAATGACGTGATTGAAATATTCACAGAATTAATGTTTTCTGCATGACCGACTGAAGCTTTTTAGGTAAGGTAGGAAACACCTACATGTATCTTATTATGTTTCGACAATAGATGTAGCGAGCATCAGGTTCTTATTTTTTTGATTTTAAGTGCAGAAGTGTCGATGATTGGGACAGTGTCGATGATTGGGACTTTTACCTTATATTGCCAAACTATAGATATAATAGAACACGAAACGGTCCACTATATATGGGAATCAAGATTTATAATCATCTCCCAGAACGCATTAAAAGTAGTACAGTTAGGAAATTTAAATCTGAGCTAAAGAAAATCCTACACCACCATGTTTTTTACGACACCACAGAATTCTTCAATAAAAACTTCCTCGCTAATTCATAATGTTCTTTTTAGGTTGAATTACTTGTGTCAAATTCACTATTATTATTTTTTGTAAGTTTTTACTCAAACTAATGCTTATCAATATGCTTAATTATACTGGAATAAACAGCAACCATTTCCCCAAGCCTAAATGGCATCTGATAATTTTGTCAATATTTCATTAAGACACCTCATTGTATTGGAATTGTAAACAGTTATCTTGGGAAATAAATATCTATCTATCTATCTATCTATGACGTATCGCCAAATGGCGGCCATGGAGAGAGAGATCTGAAGTTCAACAATTTCGAACAACGCATACTCATTATTTACATAAAACAAGCGGGAGAAGTGTTGCATAAATTAATTTAGGTTTCCAACGAAACTAGTGGAGTAATTGAATGCCAACAATTTATTATCAGTCCACTCGCCCATTATTTATCCTTCTGTTCTTTTATCTTTTTCACATAATTTCTTAATGGCTGAACCAATGGGGGAGACCACTTATTTTTTCAAACGACATATTATCGTGAACTCCATACTGAAAAACTACCAGTGAATTAATTTTGAATGTTTTCATTCATGCTAAGACGATGAAAAAAATAAATTAGAATATGTCCATTTCAAAACACACAATTCCTGCGCCATTTGAAATTTTGTCAATTCATTGGTGTGACTGGTGCGACGTCATAGTCCCAACACGCCTATTGTCCTTGAACTAACAAATCACACTGCAACACTGCTGAATGACGAGGTATCAGAGAGATAGCTACAGTTCGGGACTAATCCGTCACGGCTCCACCATCATATTTGGCTTTTTGAAATATCGAATGAAGTATGCTGATTTCAAAACGATAAAGATTCGATTCCTTTCAACTTAAACTCATAATATTTGTACATATTGTACATAAAACGTAAATCATGATTTGTCAATTGAAAGAGGTTTGCACGGATTTCTTCCCTCAGTGGTCTTCCCCATTGGGTTGAAATTTTATATGGGCAGTTGGATGGTTTCCTTGTTAATTTAAAAATACAATTGGACGCGGTAGGTGGCGCTGCTGTTGGTACGTCAACTAACTAAACGTCTTGATCGATTGGGTTAAAATGTTGCATATGTATATGTATATACTGACAGAATAAAAATAGGTGTAAGTACCTATATATACTGCTTTCCTAAGCAAAACCTCCGTATCCAACAAATTCATGGGAATTGAGATTTTTGGTGCATTGCTTGCTTGGAATCTAATACTTGATGCTTACTCGAGTAAGCTGATCAGCAAAAACCCGGTATTTATATTGCAAGTTAGTAATTTTGGCCTTTTCAATTACATGTATCTAGCCAAATAAGGCACTCCTGCTAAGCAAAAACCACTTATCTATACAGTTCTAAACGAAAACACCGCATATGCATAATGTGGCGCGTGCAGATAAGTAGTTTTCGCCTAGTAAGGGTGTTTCAATTTCTTACAGTATATGCGAAATATGCTATGTACATTTCTCAGCAAAAACATCGCATCTGCTTTTTCGTATTGAAAAACATGATTTTTTTTTAACTGACATCCGGTTCAATCGATTGCGGAACGTTTTTAACTTACAAAAATACTGATCCGACTCAAAACTGTTTGATGCTTTTACTCCATTTTAGCTTTTTTGTAGATACGCGGGCGGAGTTCTGCTTAGGACGGCAGTATAATAGTGTAGTTATATAAAAAATTAAATAAAAATTTAAAAATAACAAAAAATATGTCGTACTGATGTAGATAGTAGTAGATGAGAAGATAGTAGGTTGTGCTGCCTCTGAAAAAATATTTACACTAGCGGAATACGAATACGGCGACTAATTCAATGTCATGGCCATTTCAATGATTTTGAGTTACAATTTGAATTCGGGATTCTCAAAGTTCCTTATAATCATCACATTATAAAACAAATTAATGAAATGTGATAATGTAACCCATTAACAAAGAAGAAGAAAACTGTAACCTCGAAGTCAATTCATTATTGCCTCCAAAATCGACCAATCAAAGCGAAGATCAACGCTTCCTAATGGTTTGTAACGCTGTATTCTTAGTTGGAATGGACTATAGAGTAGGTAACTTCTACAGTGAACCAGAATTAGGTAATGTTCAATACCAGTACCCTAAACTTGACCTCATAATGTGGATATGGTAAATAATAAGTAGGAATGTAAAAAGTAGCCAGAAATGAAATACCGCGTTCAAATTTTCGATCCGTGGCATTTGTTGCCATAGGATCAGCTCAGAAATTCAGCTAATACCTACATGTTGAAAGAAAAAAATATGTCCTCTTATTATGTAACTTGTTATGTAAACTACTTCTGTGGCTAAATAAAACCATCTATTGATATCATTTCAATTATGAATGAGAAATATTGCTAGCAAATTTTCAAAATGAAACCTTTCACATAATTTTAGGCTCATTTTAGGTTGAGGAATCCTACAAATTCATTATATTGAATCAAGAAAGATTTGAGTTGATCGAAGCTAGCAAAGCCTAAAATGAGCCCAAAATCCAATTTGGGAAGTGATTAAGTAATTACTAGTTCATAACACAAAAATTGTTCTACTGGGCTCACATTATCGTAGTGACATAAAAGAACATAGGAGTGAAACTCTTCAATGGATAATGAATAACCATGTACCTAATGCAAATAATGTTTGATGCTGTGCCCAGAGGATGTTCCTGGTAAGTGATATGTAAATGGCGAGTGCGACGGATATAAGTAATTGTTAATTAAACAAATTGCCATTGGATTGGATACATTTTTATTTGGAAAGAAATATCTCAGTATTGTCCTGTCGTTTGGTTGTGAATTTTTTATCAACGTAGATAAGGCACCCAAAGGCTCAAATTTGGACTTTAATTTCTCATTTAGAATCTTGCCAGGATTTCCAAGTTTACAACCATTGCTGCGATTTTCATGCAAATGATCACAAAAACAAATGTAGGTACTAAAAATCTGCATAGCATAATCAGATAAAACAAATTGATAACCTCTATATAAACCATATATAAACACTTTCAATGTCAAAATTTTGGTTAATGAAGGTACTTATTCTTGCTTTATACAGGATGTTCCTTAATGACATGCTAATATTCAAGGGGGCGATTGTTAGACCCATTTTAAGAATAAAACTTCATATGAGCGTATATCGTGAACGTCCTAACTTTTGAGATACAGGGTATTGAAGTTGAACATATACATAGATTCTTTTTTGTCCACCCTGTATAGCTTTTCCTGATGGCAAAATTTATTCTGCTATGTGACTGAAAAGGTGTAGAAATTTCATATTTTGTGGTTATCTAGTAATTGTCCTGAATGGAATACTCAAGCTCAGCATTTACATCAAAATTTGAAGTTTGATCTCGTTTTTTCTCGAAAACGGAGTTTCCTATCGGGTATCAACAAGAGGTTCTTTTTTGTACAAAATTTGGAAATATTCCTTCCTTGCTCACTTTCAAGTATAATAATCATATCGCCCTAACGGCGCCACTGCTAGAAAAAAGGTAAATTTGTATTCGTCAAAAAATGCACCTTGATGCATAGAAGATGTTCTCCAAATTTCATGAAGATAACTACAATATTATTCCAGTTATGAATAAATAACTGTTTTTTTTTCAAAACTTTTTCACACTATCTCAAAAGTTGAGACTTTTAGGACATATGTTGGTGGAAAGTTTTTTTTCTGGAAATGAGTTGAAGAATATTAGCATGTCTTTAAGGAACACGTACCCTGTATAATATTAAATAACTTTTGGTCCCATTTGGTACAATTGCTACTGGGAATCATTTGGGATATTCTAGAATATCTTTCATCAAATCATTCCCAGTAATAATCTTATCACTCAAAATTATTATTTGTGCTCCAGTCAAGCTCTCTAACATATTACAAGCAGCAACCTCTGCATAAGTGATACCTCCCACCAAATATATCAATATTATCCTAGTTTGTAAAGGATAAGCCTTATCATTTCTAATAGTTAACGGACCTAGGGGTTCCAATTTTGATTTTATTTCCTCAATTGGCAAGGAATTCAATAGCATGCCTGCTATTTGAGTGATAAGTGGCAGATAACTTCCCCCATATACATAACTAGCACAAGTTGGGTGTTTCAAGTTGACTTTATCTGGATCAACAGGCACTTGTTTCAAATTTTTTGTGTTTACATAAAAGTTATTGGTGGTGAATAGTGGTATCTTAATTTTGCCTTGTAATTTCAAACTACCAGTTGGTTGTACTGGTTCAGGGATGAAACCTGTGTTTATGAGATTGTTGAAAGCAAAACCATATTGAAAACCAAACTGATGCAAGTATTTCCTCCAGAATGTTTTGATCTCACTGTCACTGGGAGATTGTGTGAGACATAAGAGGCAAAACAGCCTCAAAGTGATATATTTGTCATTCTCTGTAGCTAAGATTTCATCTAGATAATTCAAACTTGTAGCCCTATCAGTGTTCTTCATGATATTCTGCTCTACCATTTTTTGATTCTCATACCTGTGACCTAATATATTTATAATACTTTCAGCAGCTAATAAATGTTGGGTGATGAATTTCTTTTTGATTCTTGTAGCTTGCAATTGGGTTTGGATGTAGTGCTTGATTTCATCAAGTGCCATTTCTTTAGATTGTGTTTTCTCAGTTTTGAGCTGTTTGGTCAAATTACTCAAAACTGAGGTGACTTCAGTGAAATACCGATTTTTTATATCAGCATAGATACTGTCCTGTTTACTATCCAGACTAAAATTAACTAGTTGTTTCTGTGCAATGGGATTACATTTTTCATCTAATTTATCAATAGTTTCTTGCTTATTTTCACAAATACCACAGGTAACTGAGTAAACTTCACTGAGTAAGCCAGCATAAGTGCCTGGTGTTAGCAAAGCACTGGAATAATCAACTGTTCTATCTAACACTATGATAGCACCAAAGTCTGAGTCCATTTTGTCACTGTCTCCTCTGTCTTCACATAACTGATCATACTGTGCTAGCAGGGCTTTAGAGAATTGACCAAGTGATAAAATGAACTTTGGTTTGCCTACTACAAAGCACAGTTGCCATAAGATTTTTGATAAACTTGGTAAGAATGTTGTATTTTGATAAACAAAAAGTGAGTTGAATATGTTTGGTATTTCTAAACTCAGCAACCCTGTGTCCAAATGTAAAGGCATCCACTGAAAAGAATGTAATCTTATAGCATCATGCAATAACCCTAACTGTTCTAATTCAATCTCCAAGGAATAGATTACCCTTGGTACAACTATTATATGAAATTTGTTTTTCATAGGGTTTTCTATATCAACTTTTGAACGAATTTGATTCACAACTTGATGGAATATCTCCATGTCAGCATATATCATGTAAATAACAGTTTTGGTGTCAAAATCAGGTGGCACTGATTCCAGTTTGAAAATTTTATCCACTCCATTAGACCTAAAATGAAAAATGATCAAGTGAATTCGACAAGCAGATTATAGAACTTTTCAATACTTCAACCACTTCACACCACAGACCCTTTCTAGGGGTCTTATGAGACTGGGTTCCAAGATTAGATACTTGATATTTGAGTTGATGTTTAAGATCTTGGAAAACTGTACTTTGGATATTTCTTGAAGAGAAGTTAGTTTCTTTATGACTTCCATTTCAAAATGCGATTGAAAAATAAGTTAAAAAACCTTCTTGCACCATTTTTTGATTTCAAAACTTTTAAAAGAAAAAACAAAACAAAGAAAATTTAGATAGGTTATTTTCGTATTTATTTACTATTCCTCTTCTTCTCTTTTAATGAAATGAAAGTAGTTGCTTGCTTACAAGTTACATAAGCCATTTAACCGGTTACGTTTGATGTCGATCGATGTTGATAAAAGTTTTGAATCCGCCGAATTCAGCCAGAAAGAGCCATATTTTTGTCTCTATAATTAATTATAAGTATATTAATACGAAGCTCTGAAAGGGCCTTCCCTTTTTTTTTTCATAATCTCGAGTTGCGAAAGTCGAGAACTGGAGATCTAAAGTTGGGAAAGTCGAGAACCCGAGATCTCGAGTTGGGAAAGTCGAGTTTCGATAGTCGAGAACTTGAAATCTGGAGTTGTGAAACTCTTTTATTTCAAATGGAAACAAAACTTCTTCTGAGAATCAACGATTTACCTTGACATTTTCTGCTGTATATGCTATATATGTTATTTAGCTATTTGAGTAGAAAGAGAAAATAAATAAAATATCAACAGAGTAAAAACTCCCAAAAAGTTTTATAAACTTTGTGTGTAGTCAGAGAGTGAATGTGAGTATAGGTAGTAAAATTCTTTGAAGCTATTATAAATACAATAAGAATACAATTTAATTTTTATTCCTTTCGGACGGCGTATTTAAATCCAGAACCGTTATTAAGCAGGTGATATTATGTAAGTTTAAAAAGCTCACCCGATTGTGGATTTATTTCCATTTAAATAATTCATGAATAGGCTATATCCTAGATCACATCATCATAATGGACCGTGTCCTTTCTAGCTCTGATGGCTAGTTTACGCCAGTGGTTTCATCAAAAATAATCGAAGTGCTTCGTTTATTCGCTATCTTATTAGGTAGCTCGACGAAATTTCGATCAATGACGTCACAGGGTAGCCATATTGATTTTAGAAAAATAACTTTTGCGCCGCCATTTTTAAATACAAATGTCCACTTGCGATATGTCCGGAAGTAATTTTCAATTGTTTTTCCAAGGAAAATTTTGGTTTTGAGGAACGATATATCTTCGATTCGAAAGTCAAAATTCTATAACATAAAAACAGCTGAATGACGTCCTGGCCAATGATTGTGTTGTCACACGGTATATACACCCTATTTAGCTCGCTGTTTAGTATCCATGATCTAAAATCTAAATAACGGCGCCGTTTTTTAATGCCAAAAGAAAAAACGACCCTGTATTCTTATTTGCTTCCTAATACTACTGATAGATTGTGTAATGAATAACGTATGGCATTACTCACAGGAAATTCATTCGGGATGATAAAGAAATATGAATCAGTTTGCGAACGGCTTTCGGTGGATGCGGACGCAGTAAAAATTACTATCGTAATTCAATTAATTAGTGAATATACTTTTTCGTTTCGTATACCGGGTGTTGTGTGAGTTCCAGTGCAGACTGCAGTGATATAATTATTGTGATTTGACAGTGAATTTACTTTTCCTTTTAATATACCGGGTTTTGTATTAGTTTTAGTGTGTATAAAATATAATACAACTGGGTTTTTGGTGTGTACTTTATGATGTGGTTGAGAAAAGTGGAGTTATATATAGGTCAAAAGTGAAGTTAAGTGAAACGTGAATCGAATGATTTCTGTTGAGAATATTCGGCAGAATATTGGATTTTTAGAAGGATGTCGCTTCGTCTATTAGTTGGTTCTAAAATAGTATATATATACAATATGTAAGTACCAAAATTTTGTAAAAAATATTTCTCGATGGTTTTTGTAGTATACAGGGTATGTCACGACGAGCTTATATTACACTGTCTTTATTTCGAGAATGAGCCGCAAGAAATTTATGAAAATGTGCATGTGTATATTTGAGATTACACCCTCCTAGTTTGATATATTTTCGACAATGCAGTGTTGCCGCTTCTACCGAAAAGTAGCAACTCTCTCTCTGAAGAGCTGATTTCATCGATTATATCACATTTGAGATCTAGCGGGAATAATTACAGGGATATAGGGTGTTCTAAATCGAGATTTTTCAACTTGATAAGGTTTTTTGTATCGGAACTATTCATTATCGGTCAAAACGGCTTTTATATCCAATTTAAAAATACAATTAAATAACAAAGTTGCTGCTCGAGTTGCTGCTACTTTTCGATAGAAGCGGCAACACTGCATTGTCGAAAATATTTTTTAAACCTCTGGTAGTAGTCCATGCTCAAATTGGAGGTGATGAGATAATTAATAAGAGAACAAACTCAAACTCAAACTCGAAACATGTAGCATATATGATTTGATTATATAATTTACTTGGAGCGAGACTTTGAGTTTGTTCTCTTAATTATTTTTCAAACGAAGAGAGCGTAATTTCGAAATTAGGCATGCACATTTTCATGAATTTCTTTGCAACTCATTCTCATTTTAGACAGTGCCGTGTGTTTTCCATTAAAATGATCAATGATGTCACAGTGTCACCATATTGATTTTGAAAAATGTCTCCTGTGCCGTCATTTCGAAAACAAATGTCCACTTGTGAGATGTCATAGGAAATAAATGAATTCTTGACCTGGGAAAGGGAAGTAATTTTCAATTGTTCTATCAAGGAAAATATACCGGTGTGAAAATAGAAACGGTCGCCGTATCGGAAACGAAATAATAGTATATGCGCACAGGTGTAAAATGTTATCACATCGAGTCTTTCGTTTTAACATTCAGATATCGACTGAAACCATTGCGATCCAAATGTTTTGGGTCAATATGATGATTATAATGGTGAATTGGGGTATACACACAAATAGGGTGCTACTACCCCTATATATAGATGAATATCTTCAGAACTAATCAAAACCAAATTAACTCATCGTTTCTGAAAATTTATATTCAACAGGATATTCAAAATGAATGAGAGAAACATACCTACCCTGTTTCAGAATTTGTATCTCAAAACTCACCCTGGAAACCACCCCCGAATAGATGAAAATTATGTAAAATAATCGTTTCTGAGAATTTCTTCCTCACAATATATTCAAAACGAAGAGAGAAAACATACCTACCCTGTTTCAGAATTTGTATGTCAAAACTCACCCTGGAAACCACCCCCGAATAGATGAAAATTACGTAAAATTATGTGAAATAATCGTTTCTGAAAATGTCTTTCTGTCTTTCTCACGATATAATCAGAACGAACAGAGAAAACATACCTACCCTGTTACAGAATTTGTATCTCAAAACTCAAATTCTGAAACAGGATAGGCTCGAGGATAGGTATGTTTTCTCTCTTCGTTTTGAATATATTCTCAGAAATAAATTCTCAGAAACGATTATTTTACATAATTTTCATCTGTTCGGGGGTGGTTTCCAGGGTGAGTTTTTGGAAACGAATTCTGAAACAGGGCAAGTATGTTTTTTCTGTTCGTTCTGATGATATTTTGAGAAAGACATTTTCAGAAACGATTATTTCACATAATTTTCATCTATTCGGGGGTGGTTTCCAGGGTGAGTTTTGAGATACAAATTCTGAAACAGGGTAGGTATGTTTTCCTCATTCATTTTGAATATCCTGTTGAATATAAATTTTCAAAAACGATGAATTAATTTGGTTTTGATTAGCTCTGAAGATATTCATCTATATATAGGGGTAGTAGCACCCTATTTGTGTGTATACCCTAATTCATCATTATAATCATCATATTGATGCGAAACATTTGGATCGCAATGGTTTCAGTCAATATCTGAATGTTAAAACGGAAGAATCGATGTGATAACATTTTACACCTGTGCGCATATACTATTATTTCGTTTCCGATACGGCGACCGTTTATATTTTCACATCGGTGGAAAATATGGGTTCTGATAGGAACTATAGATATATATCTACGATTCAAGTGACAAATGTCTATAACATGATAACAACTGAATGACGTCCTGGCCAATGATTTCGTGGTCGCTCTGTATTCACCCGGTTTAGTTCAAAATCTTTGGTTCAATCTAAATAAAGGCGCCGTTTTTTAAACGCCAAATGAAAAAACGACCCTGTATTGTTATTTGCTTCCTCATACTACTGATAGATTGTGTAATGAATAACGCATATTATAGCATTACTCACCAAGCAATTAATTCGGGATGATAAATAAATATGAATCAGCTGAATCAGTTTGCGAACGGCTTTCGATTGGTGCGGACGCAGTGATAATTATCATAAATTGATAGTGAATATACTTTTTTGTTTTGGATACCAAGTGTTGTGTGATTTGTAGAACACTTCATTTCAGAACTCTACATTCGTAATGCCATGCCATGCCATATAGGCTGATGAAATATGGAGATTTTTGAGAAAAGTTGTCATTAATTTCAAAATTTTCACCCCCCCAAATTCGGGTCATTTCGTAGTTCTATTCTTCGAACATTCCTTCATGTAAAAACGACTTTCATCGATTCACTAAATTAGTTATTTATACGAATATTATGTCGACATTCATTGATGTGAATGTATGGAATCACGTCAGGTACCCTTACGAGGGGAGTGTATCAACTTTGGCGTCCGTAATGCCTCTCTACAAAGGAAGGTGTCGCCTTCTAGAGTTATAGGTATTAACAGTGGTTCTATACCAGTTCTTTTCCAAATTATTCATGCCCTTCAGGAAAGCAATAGTCGTTGTTTCAATGAAGCAGTGCCCTTAGAAAGGTGGACCCATGTTTTCTTCCACATCTGTATCTTATAGTCATAAAGCGCATTCAGAAAATCATAATACTAATCCATGTTTTTTTTAGGATATTCCAGGAACAATGCAAACCATCGCAGATGTCTAAGAATCTCAGAACCTTTATTTCCTTATTTGCAAGAACTCTTTTTTTGCTCGTAAGACACTTCACTTCAGACCTCTACATTTGAAAAGCCATGCCAGATAGGCTAATGAAATATGGAGATTCTTGAGATAAGTTGCAATAAC